AAAAAAGGCAAAAACGGTCATAGTATTGCATGTCGAAAAAGTCAGAAATAAATTAATAGTATAGCATGTCAGAAATGTCATAGTATAGCGTGTCGAAAAAAGGCAAAAAGATTCCTGGTATGGAATGTCAGAAAAAAGTCACAGTATAGCATGTGACAAACAAATCATGAAAACAGTATAGCATGTGAAAAAAAGTCAGAAAAAAGTCTTGGTATATGTAACGACGCATCGCCGTTCCCTATGCTGCGGACAGTATTTGAGGTGTGGTGTGATGAAGGTACCAAGGAAGACACACACACACAATGTTATTGGATATATTTATTGTTGGACTGTGGATGCTGGGAGTCATGTGCACAGCTGGGATACAGAGTTGTTCCTTTTGTTCTCCCTGGGAACAAGCAAATAGACAACGGCAGTGAGTGACTGATTGAACAGACTGGATTGTATTAATGTCTAATTAGTTATGTGGCAGAACAATAGAGTGTATAAACAGTATATGTAGCCAAGCTAAAGATAAAACTTAGTATAAATATTGCAACAACTCACCTCTACCCGTTTCCTCTCGCCAGGGTGTTTGGGTAAAATAGTTCTCCGGGGCCTCGAGCACCCATTTATAGTTCCGGGAAGTACCAACCACAGGAAGCGGCTAGGCGGGGAAGTCAAGATATGTGTTGCTCTGTTTATTTTGATAAATTATGTGTTGATAATGTATTCTATTTATAGGGATTGTAAATTATTGATATCTTTGGGTTGGTGAAATCATGTAAATATTTATTTCATATATTGTTGATATATACTTACCTGTAGATGGTATGTCTGGGCTAATTAGAGTGACAAGGTGTATATAAGGAGCTCGGACTGTTTGTGTAGAGAGACTGGTGGGAACAGGTCGGTGATGGTGGTAGAATGTAAAAATAAAGGAAGCTTCTTCTGAAACCTCTTCTAGACTCCTGATCTGCTCATTTACCTCAGTGGCCGTTCAGGTATGTTAACAGTATAGTATGTCGAATAAATGGAAAGAAAAAGTCAGGGTATAGTATGTCAAAAACAACTCGGTATGGCATGTCTAAAAAAGTCCCAAAAAAGGCATTGAATAGTATGTCGAAAGAAATCATAAAAAAGTCATAGTATAGCACGTCGAAAAAAGGTATAAAAAGTCTTCATTAGTCCATGTTTATACTGACATAAATGTCCCTAATTTCTCTGTTTCTAATTTCTCTCGCTCTGCATGTGTTTTATGTGCCTGTTAAATGTCTAAATAGTACAATAACAATATCCTTGAATGTAGACAAAAAGTAAAGATGCAACATTTTTTTGTAGTCTGTCGAGAAAAATAAACATTTTTAAGTATGTTGAGAAAGAAAATCATTTTATAGTATGTCCAAAAAATATCATAGAATGTCGAAAAAAAGCCATTCAAAAAAATCATAGTAAAGTATGTCGTATAGAAATGTCATAGAATAGTATAGCATGTCATGAAATGTCATAAATACATAAAAAGTAATCATAGAATAGTATCTTATATAAGATTTTTGACAATAAACAAACACATTGTATTTCTTCAAGTCTTTTAATTAATTTGAACTAGTATACTTTCAATAATTTGCTTATTTTCTAAACTATGTTCTAACAAAGAAGTAAAAATCTACGTTTCAGAGTGACAAAATAGTTATATAAATATGAGTTAAATAGTGAGCAGACATTTGTGAGCATTGAAATCAACCATAAATCAGAACACGTGGTATATGCTTGTTTTTAATACACAACAGCCATTTTCTCCTGCTGAAGAAAATCTGAATGTACATCGATCCAACTCATAACTACCTTAAAGTATTTACAGAGAGAACTCTGAGATTTACACATGCCACAAATACCAGGCTGTGATTGTGATCAATGACAGAGTGAACGTCTTTAGTGCCACAGGGAGATTGGATGGAGAACATTGTAAAAAAATAGTTTACAGTTTTAACTCAAACGTGCGTGTCGTTTTACATGTAGGCTACCACGGCATGAGGAAATATGTAAATATTAAGATCATCTAAATCATTACAATTAATACACGTAAGATTTTAAACAATGTCAGAAAACAGCAGATGGCAATGGTTTTTCAAGGCTAGTGTAGGTATACTGAATCTGATGCCACTGTAGATACAATGGTGAGACAAAACAAAGGAGATGTACTTGGTTCATGCACTGAAACATATACTTTCAGCATATTGCTTAAATATTACTCCCCGCAAACTAAGGTGAGGTGAACTATCGCACAGCCGACTGGTTGCCCGTCGACACCCCGACAGACGACAGGTCGGCTGCATTATTATAGACTCCCTGTCGTCCTTAGGCTACAAGTGTCATCTATATATGTGCAAATATAACTCTGAAAACAACAAACTGCAGCGAAACGACCATTTTACGGAGAAAACAGCTTCTGGAAACTACAATGCAAAACCTTAAAATTGATGCTTCATCCATTCTGTCTTACAATTGAGAACTATCTCTATAGTTACAGTGTATTCTCTACAAGTGAGCTGCATGAGGCATTAAGTAGTTGCTAGGTAGGCAGGACTTTCCATGAGGTATTTCATACTTCTGACCAGTGCCAAACATACTCGTACATGAAATGTAATGTATAAGGCATGAAGAAAATCTAATTTCAGATGGTTATTGAAAAACACAAAACAAGGGCCATGTGCTCCCTTTTGCTAGATTTGTGAAAAGAAACCACTTAAGGAACAACAGGCATGTTAGACAACATTACCCATAGACTCAATAATTGCACATTTTTGCAGAACATAAAGTGGTTCACGGACTTGACAGCGAAGATGAAACTGCTTCGTCCTTGCACATCCACAGAGCCTGGTTTGTAGCAATACTTGTGCTTGGCAGAAATTGGTCATTCTGCCCACATATTTGCTTGTTTGAAAATACATCCGTCACTCTATTTGATTTATATAAAGCATTTGTGGGGGAAGAAACTTCACGGAGACAAAAAAGGGAACCATTTTCACATCACTGTTGCTATACGTCTGCTATCGACTGCTTTGAGACGTTTTAACCGTCTGCGGCTGAGATTCACAAATCAGAAGATCGATCTCATCGTGTGACGGACAATATTAAATCAACATTGTGGTTTGCAGTTTACAACAAGTACAGTGAGAGGTTTGTTCACATTTAACTGCTACAATTGACTTACATTTCAGGCACTGGCACTTCAACATAACTGAGGCTTCTCAAAAGGTTCAAGATTAATCTTAAATCAACAGCATGCACTGCAGGTGGAGCTGCAGCCAACTGTCAACACGTGTTACATGAGCTAAATTATAGGTGTTGAAATGGCACAAAATATAATGCTGATTATCTACAATGTGTTACACGTCAGGTATGTTCCTTTTGAAGGGTTACCCCGAGTGCTGCCAATGCTTGGCTCATTCATTCCTGCCCGTTTTAACTAAGAACTAATAAGCAAATACAAACTGACAGATGTTCCTTAAAAGCTACATGAGTTTTAGTAGACCGATTTTTACAACATTCATAAAAAGTTTTTCTAATAAAATATGCACTTAAAACAGGAATAAATTAATAAAAAAACTTATTTTTTTGAATATTATTAACAGTACGACTACTTTACTGGATAATAGGATTTCAGAAAATAACTTTGCCATTGACCTTTTGACACACCCAGAGGTATTTGACTTAATAACAGGCTTGCCCGATGTGCAATCCAAAAGGAAAGTCCTTTGACATTGACGGCAAAGCTAACAAAAGGATTCAGAGATAAATATAGTTTGTATATGTCGTTTCCTAAGGAACTTACAGAGGCACTGAACATAATTATACATAGTAAGAGAGGAACGATCACCGTTAGAACAGTACTGTCTTACAAAAACATGTTATCAGTGTTAATGTTCTTGAGTGGACCTGGGCTGCACTTCCCTGTTCACTTTGGTTGGGTGGTTTGTCATCGAGGAATGAGCGACGACTGATATAGTCATCAGCCGCCCTTGTACTCTGGGATCCTGTGTATTCATGGAAAACATTCAGGCCTTTATTAAAAGCCGACTGATAAACCCTCTGGAGACTTTTGAATGATGTCACCATCTGTTGTGGGGTCAAGACCGGAAGTCAGTAAAGAAAAGTGCATGTCCTCAAAAGGAGCCTTTTTTTTGAAAAAAAATACTGTTTTACAATTATTGATAGAGGGATGAATAACAGATAAATAAAAGGACCACTTGTCGTCTTCTCTTGTACGCTCTGGAATCCCACTTCAGAGAAAAGACCCCATGTCCAAGTCCATAAACGCGTTAGCATCCATGCTAAAAGAGGAGTCGTAGGTCTGGGTGTTCTGGTGCATCTTCTGATGGTGCCGCAGGTTGGACTTGCTGGAAAAACTCTTGTCGCACAGCAGGCAGGCGAAGGGCTTCTCTTTGGTGTGGATTCGTCGGTGACATATGAGCTGTGTGGACACGCGGAAGGCCTTCCCACACTCCAGACACTGGTAGCGCTTGGGCTCCGTATGAATTCGCCGGTGGTTCTTGAGAGCCATCAGGTTGGTGAACTCTTTCTGGCAGACGGAGCAGGAGAAGGAGCCCGTCTTGTGGCTGTTCTTGTGGTTGAGGAGGGAGCCGGCGTGGCGATACGTGCGGCCGCAATGCTCGCAGACATGGCTCTTCTCCTCTGTGCCGGCAGGCTCGTTACTCTCCTGTGGATTGGTGATGCTTCCTGGAATGTGGGACAAAGGCGGTGGAACCTGCTTGTGCATCCCGTCGATCCCCAAGGTCTGATTTATTCCTGAGTCCCAGCAAACGTTGCTATCTACAGGTTCATCCACGCTTTGTTGATAGGGCTCCTGGGCCCTGTGGCGCATGTCCTGGTGCTGCTGGTAGCTAGCTGTGTTGGGAAAGCTCTGCTGGCAAGGGCTGCAGACCACAGACTGGTCCTTTGAGTGCACCTCCATGTGGCTCTGCAGGTGTGCGACCAGACAGAAGGTCTTGCCGCACTCGGGGCAGCAGTGGCGCCTCATCATGGAGTGTATCTGTAGAGTGAGAGGATCAGGAAATGTCTGGAGACACAAGTTACAGTGGTGGAGGTTTTCGGAGTGGGTCTTTTTATGGTTGAGGAGAGAGCCAGCATGGCGGTAGGAGCGCCCACACAGGTCACACCTGCAGCAGGGATATGTTCATATTCAATGGCTGATATTACACTTCAACTCAAATTAGACTTTTTATCAACCTGCAAGGTTACTATTATTAAACATTATTTTACTTTCAAAATAACAGCCTGACCAATACTGGATCTTTAAGGCTGATATCTATAGTTTGAAAGTCCGATAACAGTTGGCTGAGTTTTTTTAACATGAACACATAACAAACAAACATGGTTGATAAGGATCCTTTAGAGAGTAACTGCACACGTAAACTTGTTTTTTAAGCTATAAACTAAATAATAAAACTGTACTGTGATGAAAGTAATTCTGCGATAGAGTCGACCTTTTGGGAATGTTCTACGTCATCAAATACAATTTTTTTAATGCCCTCTAATCAGACCCCCCCTCCCTTTACCTCTCTCCACACATCTGTCCTTTTCACTTTTTCTGTAATCACTGTATTGCATCACATTAACAGCACAAGCCTGTTCTCTCCTTTCTAAGCTGTAAGCACATTACAACATCTGGTGAGTCAGTGTTAATGACATGAAATGGACAGCTTTGGTTAACAAAAAGAAAAAGACACAAAAACGACCCTGATGATGACTAATAGACAAAACAAGACGTACATACTCAGTTCACATTAACTCACATGAAGCACTTGTCTCCCCTCTCTGACTGCTGGACTCCAGCTCTCGGGGAGTTCTCCTGGCCTCTGCGGCAGCGGTGCCTCTTCAGGCCGGACCTGCCGTGGAAGCTCTTTCCACAGGCAGGGCAGCTGAATTGACTCGCAACCCGATTGTGGACCCTCTGGTGGTTGTGCAGGATGCTGGCGAGGCGGAAGGCCTTTCCGCACGTGAGACACACGTACTTTTTCTTCTGCGTATGGATGCGTGTGTGATTGCGTAAAGCCATGGGGTTAGTGAAAGGCTTAGAGCAGAAGGAGCAACTGAAGTGGCCTGTCTTGTGGGTGTTTTTGTGGTTCAGGAGTGAGCCTGCGTGGCGGTAGCTGCGATTACATATGTTGCACTTGAACGGTCGCTCCTCTTTATTTGTGGACACATTCGTTTGTGCGTCACTGCTGCCTGAACGTCCATCACAGGTGTGGGCTGTCAGTTGGTCGACGGAGAGAAAGGCCTGCTTACATTCCTTACATTTAACGGTCCTGGATTTTAGGCCCCTCCTGCCTCTGGGCACATCCTTTCTGAGGTCTGCACAAACGTGGGCTAATAGCTGCTTGTTTCCCCTAAAGCCTTTTCCACAGTTTTGGCAAGAGTGCTTTTTATATGCAAAGTGGGTGCGCAAGTGGTTCTTCATTGCTAGTTGATTGGAGTACGTGTTGTTACAAACAGAACAATAGTATTCACCCGTTTTATGAGAGTTTCTGTGGTTGACCAGGCTTCCTGCGTGGCGATACGTACGTCCACACTGGTCACAGGCGAAAGGCCTCGGGTCACTCGTGTCCTCTGATTTGACTGCGGTCTCACACTTTCTTTGTCCTCTCTTACCCCCCCGGAGTTGCTTGCAGCGTCGCGAGGAGGGTAAAGCCTGACTGGCGTTTGACGTTACGGACTGCGTTCCTCCATCTGAACTGGTCCCATTCATCTGCATGAGAGCCTGGATCTGGTTGTTGAGATCCTGGATTTTGGCTTGGTTCTCTTTGTGCCTTCTCAGGTGGTTCAATAGCTGCTTCTGAATTTTGAAGGCTTTCCCACACTCTTGGCAAGCATGCCTGAGGGGGGGGGGGGGTGACAAGGCATATGGTTAATTATGTGTTTGCAAAAACAGGCAGCCATGATGAACACAAAACACATCTGCAACACAAAAAATAAAGACTCTACAGGAAACTCAAAGGTTTTTGGCTCAACACTTCTAATAAACATTGACAGTTTGCAACACGAATGACAATTTGATATGTGTGGATGATGTGTATCCTTACTGGAACTAACCTCTTAATGTCAAAGTGGGACCTCTGATGGTTTTTAAGGGCCAACAGGTTGTAGAGGCGCTTCTGGCAGATGAGGCATCTGAATACACCCGTTTTGTGGGACTTTTTGTGGTTAAGGAGGGAACCGGCGTGTCTGTATGAACGCCCACACTGATCACACTTGTACTGACGATCTTCAGAATCCAAAGTTTCTTTGTTGTGACTCATGTCTTCATGCTGGGCAACATCATTTACTTTAATTTCCTCTTTACTACGTGTCGACTCATCCGTCCTCTCAGCTGTGCAACCGTGGTTTTCAAGATGATGGTAGCTGGTGCAGAAGATGCCACAGCTGCCACAGATGATACTCTGTGCTTCATCTTTTCCTACAGATACACCACTGTTGTTCATATTTACATTATCTACCGGGTCCTTTTTGTGTAGAAACTGATGCATGATCAAGTCCTGCCTATTGGCAAAACTTTCCCCACATGTGCTACAGATCATCATCTCTCCGGGCTCATCTTCTTTCATTTCTTCGTGGGAGGACATGGAGGAAGGCCCTGAGCTAGCAGGAGTACCATGGGACTGTGTGTGCCCTCGAAGATGGCTCCTGAGAGCCCTCATGCTGGTGTAGTTGTTTCCACATATAGAGCATTGATAAAGATCTCCATCATCGTCGTCCTCGTCATCATCGTCCTCGTCAGCATTACCACCTTCTCCGTCGCCATTCAGCTGATCGATGCTCATATTGTCATGGAAGTTCTGTTCAAAGTAATTTTGGTCGTGGCTACCATTCAGACCGTGGAACTCGACATTACTCCCTGGATCTCCAATGAGACAGTGACCATTACTGTCCTGGAAATTTATATTACTGTCATAGTCACTGCTAGTAGTGTTGTGTTGCTGCTGTAGCAGCGGGCAACTGTGAGACTTAATCCCTGCAATATCTGCAAATGTCTCCCCACAGTCTGCACACATGTGCCTCTGCATTGGGTGTTCGTTGTGAGGTAGATGCATGATATCCTGGGAAAAGTCCTGTTTAAACTGCTCATGGTATAAAGCTCTATTGCTGTGGTCAACTCCATTCTCCTGATTCATACCAAGCGCAGGAGGAGTGCCATCTTCCTCCTCGTCTTGAGAGGAGAAGCAGCCCTGTTGGTTCTCAAGAGTCAGAGGCTCGGAGGAGAGCCAGTCACCCTCAGCGTTGAGACCAAAAGATGCCGACTGAGCTTTGTGGAGACGAAGATGACTTTTTAGGGCAGCTAGATGAGGATAGCTCTTTCTGCAGATGGAACATTGGTAAATCCCGACCTGATGTGACCTTTTGTGGTTGATGAGGCTCCCAGAGTGCCGGTAGCTTTTACCGCAGATTTGACACCTGAAAGGCCGCTCATCAGAATCTAGAGTTGAAGTCTCTTCCGTTTCAGTTGCATTGTCAGTGTTTTGTATGTGCATCAGAGCAGGACTGAGAATGCTTGTATCCATGATTGGGGGTTCTCCCTGAGTGCTATTGAAAGGGGATGTTTGATTTTTAGGGCAGTCAGAGTACACGTGGCCGTTACTTCTAATCCGCTCCTGTGGCTGATCAAAGCCTCCGTGATTATCTATCGATGATACTGAGGGAACATTATTTATAGGAGATGCATACAAATTGGACTCAGGCGAAGCAATACTGTTGTCATATGATATATTGTGGTTCTCTGACAAGGTATCATGAAGACCAAATGACAGAGATGAAGAGTTATGCATTTGGATGTGTTCCTGGAACTCTTCATCATTGGGGAATAGTACCTGACACAAATGGCAAAAATTGACAGGAGCATCCTGGCTCTGAGGTGAAAACTGGCCCTGTGGTGTGCCTGTGTAGGACCCACCCATCGAGTCAGGGTCTGCCCCACTTCTTGTCTTGTGAGTTCTCTGGTGGCTATAGAGGGCAGCCATGTTATTGAACAGCTTGAAACACACCGTGCACTCAAACATTCCCACTTGGTGAGTCTTTTTATGATTGGTCAGGCTTCGATGGTGTATGTATGACTTGTCACACAAATCACACCTGAAAGGTCGATTTGCTGCATCATCAGAGGTCTCGGATTGTGGATTATAAACAACCTCCATCTTGTCGTCAACTGGGCTATTTTCTGGAGAAATCTGGACCCCGGGTGACTGCTCAATGAGATCATTTTCAATTTCATCATTATCTTCATGTGTGGGATATTCCATGTCTACCTTCCTATATGACCGCTCCTTTACTCGCCTGGCAAGGTGAACCCTCTCATGTGTGGCCAGCTGTGTTGCCAGACGAAAAGATTTCCCACATTCTGCACAAGAGTACTTTTTCTGTGAAGTGTGGCTCCGGAGATGACTCTTCAGGGCCAAAGCATTGGAGTTTTCTTTACCGCAGATGTTACATTGAAAAGAACCCACCTCGTGAGTCTTTTTGTGGTTAGCTAGGCTACCCGCATGCCTATAACCACGTCCACATTCGTCACATTTAAATTTGCGTTCTTCCTCTTCTTGAAGGTGAGCATCCATGTGCTCGAGCAGACTGGGCATATTGGGACATACCGTGCCACATTGTTTGCAAGGAAAACCTGTTGCCCTGCCAGGCTCTTGCACTGCCATTACAAGACAGCAGCTGAATTGAGTGCACCAGACACAGAGTGTATGAAAATTCAGAGGGGAAATGCATTAGATGCCCTTATTGTCCGAGAGGATTAATAATAAGGTCCAAGCAGTGCCCGGTGACGTAACACGGCAGAAGATGTTGAGAACCAGTTCCTCAAAATTAGGAGTGTGACTTAAATTTAGGAGAAGCAGGCAAATGGAGCTGTTGAGGACAGAAGAGATGCCAGTTAGTGCTGTGGTGAATACATTTAACAATCTATGTAACACTATGCAGTTTTATGCCAGGACGTGTACATTATAGAACATACAAATACCCATTCGAGAATTATTCCGAATGAAACAAAGGTTTATTCATCAATCATACTACAATATAAATCGACAACTTAGCCCGTGGCATTTCTGTAGCATCAATGAAAATCTCATAATGTTTAAGCCTTACAGGGGCTGATCCCTGCTTTAAATCTATAAAAACCAATACATCTTTGTAAATACCAGCTGATATATTTCCTTGCGTTAACTTCAGCAAGTAACCAGTGTCATGGACAGACGTATTACGTTGAATGCAGTTAGCTAGACACGGTAACTAGCCTACCATGTTTGTCTACACCTCTGCACCAGCAGGCTAACTGAACCAACGCTAGCTATGTCAATAAACCGGGAAACGCCTATTTCTCTACAGATTCGTTGCCACATCAAAAAAAAAACACATTTCTCCGACATTGTAAACAAAACCAGAATAAACATACTCTCATATCACTGTATAATGAAGAGCGGACAGGTTAACAACAGCTACATATGTATAATCGTGGGAAACCGTTAGCGTGCTACCAGCTAGCATCAAGGCTAGCTAAACAAACATTGCACCAAAAAGCCAAGAATTCGTTTTAAATGCAGAGTCACAACGTCAGCAAATACGTCATTAAATACCTGCAGCAGTGCTGATTCAACGCGAGCCTCCGATGGTATGTTTTCATTCATTATTCTAAAAACGTTATTTTTGTGTAAAGGGCAACCCCCTCTTTTCAATTGTCTTTTTTTCTTCCATCCCCATTTCCACATTGCTCTCGTTGCTAGGAAACAGGAAATGTGCAGCAGTGAAATGCTTCCCTCTGGAAAGTAACGTTAGATACACTAAAAGTTGAGGTAATAAAACTGCGGCGAGGTCAGCGTTAAATAAATCACAAAGCAAACATTAAACTGAAATACAACCCAAGAACGTAAATATTATTTGACTATTCTGCTGCTGTTTATCGTAAAACACCCAGAGCACGCTAGCTAGCTAGCCTAGCCTCTGACACCTGACGTTATGTTAGCTGTAGCATTAGCTAGCTCTGACTTCCGAGCATTGTAAATTAAATTAGCTTAGCACACATGTTTCCATTATGGCAGACCACCTGCTAGCTTTATAATAACTACCGTGTTTTATTAGGAAATGTTAATACATTGATTATCTGTCTTATCTTGATATTTTTTAAACATTACACGCATTAAAATGTTGCACACTTGGCTTGCCGAGAGCTTTCGTCATCATGGTCCTAGAGCCGTCCCACACCCTGTAGCCAGTCAACAGCAATCACCTTGTCTCACTGTAAATGCAGCCGTGTACCGAGACGCTTTTCCAGGCATTATCGACCAACCATTAATGTCCTGATTCGGGTAAGAAATATATTTGTTTCATTAACGCACACTAAGGCAGCTAATGTTAACCAAATCCATCCCGCATAATCACGGTCATTATGATGACGACACTGTCGAGTGAATTGCTGCAGCCGGTCCTAAAGCCAGCCATTTTGAGTTAGTTAAAGTGTTTAGCAAGAGAGCTAGCAAAAAAATAAATAATACGTACATATCGTATGCTGTTGTTGACACCACCGCACGGACTCGTGATCTTTGATCCTCGAACGTATGCCAGTCAGTCATGCAACGCGATCTCTGTCATTGCATTGTCAACTTCCTTTGGCATCAAAGCGGTTAGCTTATTGTCCCTGAGGTCCTAATGCCAGCCATTTTGTGATTTAATGCACACCAATATATTTTTATTCTGATTATTATACAGATTTTTTTTTTCAAGTCCATCATCATCAGGCATTTTCACTTTCGATCTGCTCTCCTAATTATTATCCATCATAGCCAATGACTTAAGCCTGGTGTCTGTGGAACAATCTTTCAGGATCATAGCCATAATGCTGCTAATAATCTGTTTATTTACATAATTATTACAACGGTCTTTGCAATTTCTTTGCAGGTATAAAGATGGCCTCTCCTCAGCCCTGCAACCCCCCTCTTGTGGAGCAGTACACCCCTCCTGCACAGGAGGAAGAGAGCCAACAAGAGGAAGAGGTGGGGAGGGATCAGCCTGCAAAAAAACGTGGCAGAGGCAGGCCTCCAAAAGCCAAACCATCATTCAAATGCTCTGCGTGCACAGAGGCTTTCAGGAGTCTGTCAGCTCTGCGGAGCCACAAGCTTTCGGCACATGTAAAGGACCGTCAGCAGCAGCAGCACTCGTGTTCTCAGTGTACTAAAACATACTCGAGCAAGGCTCAACTCTCAAAGCATGAGCGCACTCACTCAGCTCAGCGCCCCTTTCAGTGTCCCGACTGTCACAAGGCTTACAAGACACCCACAGAGCTACGCAACCATAGCCGCTCTCACACTGGGGAGAAACCATTCGTATGCACGGAGTGTGCTAAGGCCTTTATGCAGGCTATATGCCTGAGGATCCATATGACACAGCACAGTGGAGAGCGTCCTTTCTCTTGCCGTCAGTGCTCTAAGAGCTACCCCACCCTGTCTAAACTGAAGGTGCACATGCGCTCTCACACAGGAGAAAAGCCATACTTCTGTGCCGAGTGCGGTAAGAGTTTCGCAGATCCTTCTGTGTTTCGAAAACACAGAAGGAACCACCAAGGCCACCGGCCATACGCTTGTGACGAGTGCGGGAAAACGTACACAGAGCTGAAGGACCTGAAAAACCATGAGCGCTCCCACACTGGAGAAAAACCATTCCTGTGCTCAGACTGTGGCAAAGCCTTCTCCCGCTCTTCCTCCCTTGCCTGCCATCAGCGTATTCACTCCCAGAACAAACCCTATCAGTGTGAGCAGTGTGGTAAAGGCTTCACCCAGCTCTCCTCCTACCAGTCTCATCTCCGCACTCACTCTGGTGAGAAGCCGTTCCTCTGCCCACAGTGTGGCAAGATGTTTTCTGACCCCTCCAGTTTCCGTCGCCACCAGCGAGCCCACTTGGGTTTCAAGCCATATCCCTGCGACAAGTGTTCCAAGAGGTTCCGGCAGCCGGCCGATCTGGCCGTGCACGAGCGCGTTCACTCTGGAGAGCGGCCTTACAAATGCCAGAGCTGTGACAAAGCCTTTGTTGCATCCTGGGATCTGCGCCGCCACATGCTTGTCCACACAGGTCTTAGGCCCTTCTCTTGCACCGAGTGTGACAAGTCCTTTGCTGAGCGCTCCAGCCTCAACAAGCACCGGCGTGTGCACTCTGGAGAAAGGCCTTTCAAATGTGAGGAGTGTTTGAAGTCATTCGTGGTGTCCTCAAGCCTGCGCAAACATGAGAGGACTCACCTAGCTGAGCAGCCTGAGCAACAACAACAACAACAGCCACAACAACAACAGGAGACAGAGGCCGGGTCAGCCTCAGCCTTTACTACCCACACAACTCTCCCTCAGTTCTCCTGTACTCACTGTGATGCTACATTTGGAAGCTGGGATGAAGTTCAGTCACATGAGAATCTTCACCCCATCGACTCCAGTCCTCCGACTGTAAACAAAACCGTGCCCATGGGCTCGCATGTATGTGAAACCTGCCAGGCAGAGTTTGCACAGTTGGCAGACTTGCAGGAGCATGAGAAGCAGCATCCCAAGCCGAGGCCTCATGTCTGCAGCAGCTGTGGCAAAGGCTTCCTCAACAAGTCTGGACTGCGTAAACACCAGAAGATCCACTCCACCATTAAACCTCACGGCTGCCCCTACTGTGGCAAATCTTTCCTGTTTGCCGCCTATCTTCGCAAGCACTTGCGAACTCATCCCCCGGCCACCCAAATCAGTGACATAAACATTATTCATACTGATCCGCTTCCCTCTCCTCCACCCCCCAGTGAGGTTTCCCCCTCCACTGTTGAACCTAGCGCGATATCGCTGACCGTTCCAGTGGCTGTACCTGTGACTGCTTTTCAGACTCTGCCAGACTACTTGGTCAAAGAAGAGGGACTTTAAGCTTTTTTTTTTTTTTTTTTTTTTTTTTTTACTGTTTTGGAATTTTTATTCCACAAATATTTAGCCAGGAGCCTTAAATCATTTTAGATTGGTCTTATGAAGTGTTTTTTTTTAAGGAAAACTTTCATTCAAGTAACCTTAAAAAAACCTCAAGAAAAGAGTCTCCTTTATGTAAATTGTCGGCGCTTTGTCACTGTTTTGCATTGCCATGAAATTTCAAAGATGTTATGTATGATGTTCATGTTTTAAAATATATGCTATAAGAAGCTTACTAAGAAATATACTCTGTTATCTGTAATCTCTTTATGAAAATATGGTGTTGCAAAAATGTATGCTGATCACTTAAGATGTTGTTATTTCAGGTAAATGTGTTTTATAATGCTCTTAAACTCTTAATTTACATTTTGTTGGAAAAAAATGTTACTGTTTTACTGTGCAAGTATTAGCATTATTTAATATAAAACTTGTTGGGTAGAAAAAAAAAAGAAGTCGGTTGCATTCCAAAATGTTTAATCAGTTGAGTTACATTTTATACAAATAAAACTGTGTAATGTGTAAATAGTTCTGTTTTAGTGGTCATTTTGTTGAGTATATCTTCTGCACGAGCATCTTAAATGTTGAAGTTCTCAAAGGTATGAGCTCTCTTACTGCTATACACCTTATTCCTATTAATGACACATAATGTACCTTGAATTACATGAAGTACCACAGCAATCCATGCAGACCAACAGCTCTGTTAATGAACTTGTGAAAATGCTTTTGGGTGTTATCTTTTGTTACAAATGCTCATAAGATGCAATCATGTGATGTTAGTGAATAAACAGAAACTGTTGTTTTTGCTTATGTTGCTTAGTTTAGAATGGTAATATAAAATATAAGATTTTATTTTTTTCATTCATTCGATTATTTTTGACCGTAACGACATTATGTTGATTTTATACTTTAAGAAAAATTCCTGACACACTCATGATATATAAGCTAGATTGAAAGGGAAAGCCATGAGTGATAATGGCAGCAATAATAACAGGCCTTTTACCTATTCTCCACACAGCAGTGGATGCCACCACCACCACCTACAAGTGTGGCTCCCTGTGATCTGGCTTCCTGTGCGTCCGCCTGCTGATCCTCTTCCTGGCTGAGATGCCCTTGAGACGCCAAACTGGAGGCATACTTCACCTTCAACGATAGAAAAAGGGACAGCATCTGCTAAAGAGCCTGTTATAGCAAACACTACACCACAAACCCGTGATGGCGGACTGGAACTTCATCTACGTGCCGGTTAATCTCTCTCAGGGGAAGACTGATGTGGAGTTGGAGGCTCAGGTTGTGTCCACAGACCCGGCAGCGAGACGGTTACAGAACTCCACAGACACAGAGGCACAGTAGGCTTCTACCTGCTCAGCATCAGTCTGCGTAATGATAGAACTTGCATTTGTTTCTCTTGGAACCTGCCGGCACTAAATAACGAATGAATGCATCTTCTGAACAACATCCACTGCATATATTTAGTGGTTTTTTTTTTGTATGAATTAAACAATTTAATAAAAAAATTTAACAATAACGCAGCTGTTGTGAGGTTGTATTTCCTGTTGCATTGTCAAGTTTGGTGCAAATAAGTTGCATATATTAAAACACAATTACATGATCATATTCTGAACTATATTAACTGTTTAGTTGGAAGTTTACACATGTTGTGAGATGTGTTTTGCTCTAGGTGTTAGCTGCATGATGGTGTTTCTGAGTCAGGTGTTTCTTGTCTGTTTTGGTCAGTGTAAACTCTGCCGCAGTGTCAAATACACATCCATGTTCGCTATACTCCCTCAGCAGATTTTAATGTAACACTGAAAAAAATCACATGTTTTACTTCTTTATGATACAGATAACCAGTTTTTTTGTTGATATATTTGAAATATTTGAGGTATTTGAGATATACTGTATATTCAGCCAGATGATGAAAATCAAACAACAGTGTCTGTCCTTGTCATTCATGACTTGAGCTGCTTCCAACGAGATGAAAGGTGAAGGCTGACAGTTGGTTAGAGTTTATGTTTATTCTTCAGGGAGATGGTCATCCTGTTGCTGTGCTTCATAGTGTAGAACAGCGCTGCACCGGCGTCTGTTAGAGACTGGTGGGAGGAGGAAAGTTAAGAAAAATGGGCAAAGTATTTAACTACTAAACAGTTTAATTTGTAAGGAAAGAACATTAATTACCTCCGAGTCTGAAACGACTGATTTTCTCTGTAAAAAAACAAACCAAAAGACTTTAGTGTGGTGTTTTCAACCGATGTAAGACACTGAAGATGATCAAAAATACTGTAAAAACTCACCCTTATGATGGTATGTTTGTGGCTGTATATTGGCTCCATGGTTTTAATCCATTCTTGGTATGTTTGCTGGTCCTCTGCACTGTGATTATGCTCTCTGCAAACAGAGGCAGACTCACTTTGTACAATACAATATCTAGCCTAAAAAAATACATCTTAAAAACACATGCATTCAGACACACACTGTGGCTTTGCTAATAATATGAAGTTGATCAAAAAGAAAAGAAAAAAATGAAAGCCTTAAAAAAACGAGCTTGAATTCAAAATGATCTGTTGGAATGAATTAACCAAAAAAACGAGGGTCATCGCTTATGAACCCTTGAATTAAAAAACAATATTCACCAGTTAGAGCTCAAATAATAATCAACAGTTGATCAGATTAATCAGACATATTTAATATTTGCTCTTTAATTGACAGTTTGGACTTTTGAGTTTCCGCCATCCCTCCTGTTACTCACATTGCTCTCTCGATCAGCTTCCTCTGCAGCTCTCCTTCCCTCCTGGCATCGAGGAAGCGGCCTCTGACAGCCAGAGCGGCGCTGGCCTGTGACGAGTTGAGCTGAATGATGGCCAGAGAGAGAGAGGACAGGGCCGCCGAGCTGAGCAGGAGGGTCACACTTCTATCACAAGAGTGCTTCTTAACATTTACAGCTTCAGCCATGCCATTATTATTACTGTGCAAACACACACAGGGGCCACTAAGTAGCTGTTTAGACGATGAATTGCATGACCTCCATTCAGTATAGACTGAGTTGAGAGGTTAATTTACTGTGTGACTAAATGCTAGAATGGATGAGAAATGCGATTTACATGGTGCAATCCTTTATGCATGATGTGAAGGGTCTCGTATCTCAGCAACAGCCAGCCTCCTTGGATTTTTCACAAACGCTTTACTTAAAGCTTCACTGAGATTGGTGTATATAATACATCTAATCAATTGTTGTCCCCAGGGAGAAAACCCCTCGTTGATTAAAGATGTCAGACGATAATGACTTGTTTAAGCTTACAAGGAGGCCAAAAGCATGCAACAGCTCAGTGATGTGTGTGTGTGTGTGTGTGTGTGTGTATGTGAGGTAATCTAAAAACCCAAAAGTGAGAGAAGCAGTGTAATTATGGAAACATTATTATCACCTGTCATCAGTAACATCTCGGCCTGTGGTGATCACTCTGAGCATCGTCTGTCCCTTCCTCTGCCTGTACCTGATCTGCAGCTGGATAAACACACGGCTACCAGAGGCTGGCGCCGACACTGAAGGGGAGCACAGAAAAAAACACAAATATTAATCGAGAGCGTTTCTGAGAAAATACATGTTGCTTTTCAGTGATGGAATTTGACCAAGTGAATTTACTCAAGTAAACTACAGATTTAGTCTGGAGTGAGACAATTTCATGCATATCAAACTAACCAGTCTATCATGGTGACATACTGGAACTTTCTTTTTTCTCACCGTCTGTGTTCTGTTCACTGGCTCCAAACTGGAAGGTGATCTCTGTTTCTGGGTCCACGTTCCCCACCTCTCTTGTCCCTTTGTGTCCTGCCTCCTTCTCTCCTCTCATACGCCTGGACCAAAGGAGAACATTAGTGAATGCTTGTTAATAATGTCATTTAAAGTGCATTATTGTGGCAACTAGACCACTGAGAAACATCAGTATTGAGGTATATACGGAGCAGATCTTACAGGGATTGGGGTAGCAGTAACGTGACAGTGCACTGTGTCGCTATCATTCTGTTCTCAATGATCTCTTCAAACTCTGCATGCAACCTTTTGGGACTTGCTATCACCACCTAGGGGACCAAACACACAGATGACAAGATCTAATGAGTGATAGACATCATCAAATAAAAAAATTAAAGTACTTAATATAATAATCGGACAAATGTCGACATACATCACAACGCATCTTACTTTCCCTCCAGTGCGATCAGCGAGTCTTCCCAGCTCGTCCAGCCTGGAGTCTGTTCCCTCTATGGACAGCACAGACACTGTCACACTAATGAAAGAAGGACATTTCAGTATGAACTTAATTAGAGTGAAGCACTTGAGTATAATATAATATGTACTGTAATATGTATTATAACACTTGTGCCATTTCTGACACTGATGAGGAGATGTTTACCAACCCCTGATTGGCAGCATAATCCCCCAGGTCCTTGTAGAATATGGTGGATGAGAGGAGAGTGCGAGCATCATTATCCTCTACCTCCAGATTCCCCAAGTCTGTGTTGGCCTTTCCATCTGTACAGATAATCACCTTCGAGATCAGCAGGGATAGCAGGTCAGGATTGTTTTTAGAGAATAGGCAAATGAAAAATGACTTATGTTTGCTTAAGAAGTAAGAAATACTGATTCAGGTCAACAAACAAAACAAATAAAGTGAAACACTTTATAGTGTAAATGAGTTTAGCTGAATCTGTGCAGCTAATGTGTGCAGTGCTGTGAAATGATCATGTACTACAGGCCACATGTATAATGTAGTACATGGGCTTAGACATACAAATACATTTGTTTGGTCTTGTGAATAAGACAGAACCTACCGTGGACCCTGGCTGTCTGGAGGCTATCGCAATCGTCAGGAGCGCAGCAGGACCAAGAGCCGTCGTCCCACCGTCGCATAATCTTTCAACAAGAGGTAACGCAAAAAACACATGTTATTTAAGTTTTATAAAACACAACAATTTGGAGGTAATACAATAGGATTAATGAATGTATCTCCTTTCAATGGAATCATATCATAATGAAGACATATATTGAGATATGATACTTCATCTAAATCTCTATCAATAAGAATTCTGTTTAACTACCCCAGTGTAGTTCAATCAAACTATTGTCTTAATCCAATTATTGGGTTATTTTGTGCAAGCATGAAACCACAGTCAGTTATAGCTGGGACTTTTATTTATTTTTACTCAATATTTTCACTTAATTATCACTTAGATATATATATATATATATCTATATATAGATACGATAGACCCGTAATAGAAGATTATGGCCATATTGCCCAGCCCTATTACTATGTAATAAAATACTAAAACAATTGATTGTACACCAATTGCAGTTTTTTTTCTTACCCCATGACTTGTTTCCGTAAGTAATCCTTGTTCTGTGAGAGTGGAGGCGGAGTTGGGAAACTGGCTGCAGTCTTTTTCAGAAAGTTGCAGTCAGCTAACTCAGCACCGCTCAGGGAATGTGACGTGAAATTCTCATTTCCATGCATTGTCACCTGGTAACACAAGCATTATAGGGGATGAAGAAAAGCAGCAGTCATAACTTGCTTTCTATATGAGATCATTATAAGATGAAAAACTAAATGTACACACAAATCTATTGTGAAGCTCAAGCCTCTCGTGATCATTTATGTACCTGACTGCTGAAGGTGATGAGTCCCACTCGAATGTCAGGTTTCTGCTCACTCAGTCTCTGGACACACTGCAGCACGGCTTCCAGAACAAACTGGGTTGAAGACAATAATTTCACAAACTGCATCTTGATATCATCTTTGCACAAACAGCATTTTGTAGACGTTGATTTTCAAGCAAACCTGCAGTTTGTTAAGAATCACAGTTCATTCTGAGTCTTACAAGGTTAAAAGACAAAAAAACTCACCTGGAGACGGGTTTTGTGGACAACAAGTTCTCCCTCCGACACCTTGAAACAACAGAGACTGATCATTTGAAACACCACAGGATGTATTTGTGACACGAATGGCCTCATGATACCGGCGGTAAACATATCAGTGTCAGGTCATGTGGTTTTACCTCTGAGGTGATGCTCATAGAGCCTGAGACGTCGATGCAGAAGAGCAGCAGAGCGTCAGCCGCACAACGGGGTTTTTCATCAGGACATAGCAAAAAGAGGACATCCTGGTGACACTGTGGCATACTGGGAGTGCTGGTCGGCTCCCAGGGCTGACAGAAGTAACATTCATTAACCTGCAGTTCAGCACAAGGAGAGAACATCACTGTTTACTGAAAATCATTACCAACATTAACTGAGTCCACTCTGCCTGCAGTCTGTATCAATCAAACCAGCCCCAGTTATCCATTGTTTCATTATGTTGAGATCAATAAGGCTTGTGCTTGCTATGCTTTGTGTTTCCGAGTAGTGATTACAAGGATATTTACAGTTATCACATTTGAAATCAATGACTCTTAATTGTGTTGCTATTTATCAGTTTCAGAATATAGACTGAATGAAATACAGCATGTAATTACCACATTGTCATAGCAGGAGTCCAGCACAGAGCCGCATTTGGAGCAGGAGGCGAGTTCTCCTTGTGTGGTCTGCGCTGGAAATATGCAAACATCTATCGTCATCATATGCCAAGAAGGACTAAAAATCAAACTAAATGGGATATAATGGAGGTTTTACAGTGATGATAAAAGTTTACTGACCTCTTTCCTCTGAGAGTAATTTTCCTAAACTGACAAGGAGCACATTGGGATTCCCAGGCAGAGGCCCCTGATCTGCTGATTCTGAGATGGGAACAACAGCATTAAAAATAAGCACTGGTGGTGTAAAACATTCATCATGAGAGTTAATCTTTTGACAGCATGACAGAGACCGTTACAAATATCTTTACTAGTAGGTGGTGGGACAAGTGATGTGTCCGTGAGTGATTTCTGAGGCAACAGCACCAGGTACTCTGGGATTAACTTCATGAACGAAGGTCTCGGAGGAAGGGGAGGAACTGATGTATGAGAGAACAGAACAGAATAAAACTGGGATGATCTGTCTATTCCTCCATACTGTCAAATAAAAAAAAAAAGAATGCAAATGTCAACACAAGTTGTCCGTTTACCTGACACCGGAGCCGACACTTTGCTAGTATCAGCTGGCAGCTTCACCTTGAACCCTGCGCCTTCTGGTGTGGCGTACGAGTAGTTTGGGTCCGAAGAAGGTACATCTAAATCTGGCTCATTCGGGAGGTTGTAGGTAAATGATGACAGATGACTGTTGGTGTTGGAGGAAATGAGTGGCTGGCTGTAAGGAGGGGACTGGCTGTTTGCTGAAGATCTCATGTGTGGTGGCAGAAGAGCTTTGTGAAGCAGATTAGGAGACGTGTGTTAAAGGAACGATTCACCCAAATAATATAAACTGTCACTCATTTGCTGCAGATCAGTGGAATACATAAGAGCAGTGGACCACTAAACACAGTGCTTTAGCACCTGCAGCTCAATCTCCGACTATTAATCAAGTCTTCATAGTCTTAGAGGGATTAGTTCACCCAAACTCTCTTCTCTCTCTAGTGATGTGTAAATCCAATACAGAGGATTGTTTGAAACAAAGAGAATCAAACTTTCCAGATTAAATAAACCCTTTTTAATTTAAATTGTTTAGATGGTTGTGTGGCTTAGAGGATAACTCTAAATGACTAATTAAGGATATCAACTGCATCTAAGATAATACCATAATACAGAAACTAATCTTGATCAGCCATACATTTACATTAGCATTGCTACATTCACAGTACCTGTCTTTTGAGGAGTTGTACTCCTGGAAGAAGCTGCACCCGCTTTATTGTGAAATTCAGCATTTGCATAGAAGGGAGTGGGCTTCACAGCCTTCTTCACTTCCTTGCTCTTTTCCAACTGTTCAATGACCTTTAGGCGAGATTGGGGTGACTTTGGTGGTTTGGCTTCTGCAGAGTTTTTTGGAGGAGGAGGGGGAGGACTGCTAGGACGAATCCAGTTAACAGGAGGAAGAAGAGCTAAAAAAGCATAGATATAGAAAAATAAATATACAGTGGCTGTTAATTTGAGAGGAGCTTCTTGCCAGAGAAATGGATGTACAGACAAAACAACTGGTGCAGCAATGACCTTTGTGCTGTGAAGAGAATGTGACTCAGGTGGCAGATGGCTTTTACGGAGAAAAGCTGAGCATCTGAAAGGAATCTGTCCTCTAAGATAGACAGGAGAGGTTGTGTGTGTCACATTACATAATGCATAATGGTACTTAACCAACTCAGAAAGCTCTTATGAGAGGAGTCGGCATATACTTTTAGAAATTAGCCGTTATTTTGTAATCAAGTATTGGAATTTACTCCGTTGATCTTTCTCTCAACTTATACTTCAGTTTATGACTTCCTATATTTCCCAGAACCTCTTTTGCCATCCTGCAGAGAATGGACCGGACAGCTGGCGACGTGACCGATTTAGACTTAGTGACAGCCCAATGAAAGCTTTGTGTCTCTTTAGTGGATTTCTTCAAACTGGTGTGTCAAGCTTTTCGAATCTGAGACTGACTGTCAGGACAGCTGCCTCTGTAGTTTTCCTACTTCCCCAGGCCCCTGCATTTCCATGAAGCTTTGCAGTCCTTGCCATTCTCCACCTGTCCACCAGATGCCCTCAAAATTGACTCCCACATCTCCCTGCTCACCTGTCTCTTTCTCCAATCTCCCTGTCATATACCAGCCCCTTTTTCTACTGTCATATTGTCCATGTTGCTTCCAGCCTCTTCTACCTGAACATGAATCTCTGCCTGCCTGCATCTTTTTTCCTGCCCCATTCCTGTTAACCTGTGGATTCTCGGTTACTTCTGTTTGGACTTGCTACCTTTTTGTCTGTTACTTAATGTGTTATCTTCCGGTAAGATCACCAAACTGATCCTGTCTGCCTGGTGGTCATTTGGGGACGGCATTATTCGCTGCAACCGCCGAATGAGAGCAGTGCATACACGTGAGCTAACCAGCGGGGCACGCTCACGTGCACCAACATGCGCGTGACCGGCCAAGCTAAGTCAATAAAGCAAGGAGAAGTTTGGATAACAACACACATAAGGAAAGCGACTTCGTTCTCTGCTCAGGTACATTACCCCACCGTATCTTTACACATACAATAGTTGTTTGCTGCTATATTAATGTTCAGAATGTTAGATGATGTTCCTTTAAACAAGTATTAAGTGTTATACATTTAGATTTTCTTTTTCTTTGATGTCTGGAATTATTTGAAAGAGATCACACCTGAGCGCTTAATGACATTATGTCGTTGGCCGTCCTTCTGAGTCACCGATGGTGGCACATAAACAAATCCACAAGCAAACTCCATTGTGAGCCTACCTGCCTATGAGAGAGAGGACATTATTTAATACATCACACATAATAACTCATTAAAGAGGACACCTTAACGTCTGTAAAACACTAAACACGTATAACTTACAGTCCACTCCAAAGTAATTACAATACAATTTGCTCTGGGGAGCATGTGACATTCAGTTTTTATGATGTCGTCAGGCCTTTAATTAAGCGCTCGAATGAAAGAAACTTAATCCACACAATGCAGGCAACATTTATCGATTGTTTCTGCAATATAAAAGCAACACATCCTCTGAAAACAAGCAGAAGACCTACTTACACATGCGGAGTCCTTTGAAAGCAGTCAGTACAGTGTACTGTATACCATAAACATGAAACCTTCCCAGGCCAGGACTGTGTGACGTCCTCTTGTCAGTCACTCTTTGTCTTTCATTGCGTCTCAGACATCTTGTCCAACAAGTTTCTTTACTCAAGAAACTGCTGTGATGTGTGTACAAAGCTGTGCGGTTGGGTGGTTAGTCAGAGATGTATTGCACATTGCCTAACTCTAGTGAATTGCGAAATAGGACAATAAAATGTTGATGGTCAAGATGATTTTTATGTTTTTCAAAGTAAAATAATATACAGACTATACTGTAAACATATTGAATGTACATATATACCTTGCTAGTGAAATTAATGACAATGACATGCTATTATGTCATTATGTTATTATTATCATTTAAGTTAATAGCATCTGTAATGTAATACAATGTTACGTTTATTCTAGGAATGCTAATCCCAATCTACAAGACTTCTGTGTACCAAAGAACTTGATCAAAAAAGAAACAAACTAAAAAGCATATTTTGAACAAATTTCTTTTGTCCTCCATTTGCTTCATGTAATTAAATGCGTCTATATTTACAATACATTCCCTAATCACAAAATATATAATAATAAAAAAAGATAATATACAATTGAAACATTTTAAGTGTATTTGAAAATGATGGCACATGTTTACACATGTATGTTTTAGCTTTTTATCTGGTCTTTTTCCCTTTGTGTTGTTGACACGATAGCGCCTCTGTGAGGCTATACTTAGGTACAGTGCAGCTTTGAGTCAAATGCTAACATCAGCACATGCACACAGATGCCAATGCTAACAAACTGGTATGGCTGATTTAGCCGGTACAGTGTTTACCACGTCCATCATCTTAGTTTAGCGTTTTAGCATGCTAACATGTGCTAACTAACTTTAACCTGCTGGTGGGCTCGATGAAAAGTCGGGGTCATTAGGATCAATAGAGTCATCAGGGTTCATCCTCGGTGCACCATGAATGACTGTTCAAAATCCATTTGATAGTTGTTGAGATATTTCAGTCTGAACCAACGTGGTGGACCAACCAACTGCCACACACACACACACACACACACACGCGCGCACGCGCATGCACAGAGCATGGCAACAAAAAACACTGTCAATCAGATGGATTAGAGGCAAAACAACTACACTTTTATTTTGAAAATCAATTCCCTTAGTCAAAGTAACTTCTATGTGCCTCTACATAATACTTATTGAGTAAACATTAACCTTGTGTGCTCCCATCATTGTAACCTGTTCCTGGGTCATCGCCATGTATCGTTATCCGCTGTTTTCATTGTAATGACCTAATGACTCAAACATGATGGCAGTAAATAAATATCCTCTCTTGTTCTTTTTTGTTTCATCTGAACGCGCACACATGCATGCAAACACACGTACACACTCGCACATATACACATACGGCTCCTGCACAAACAGTACATCTAGTCTTGGATAATTCATATTGCAGAAGCACTCAAACCAAAGTAGGTTAGAATATTAAGGCCTTAACAAATTTTACATTTCAAAGTGGCTGGGAACAGATTATATCGGAGTTACAAACTATATTGTATAACAATAATTGTTATTTTTGGAAGATTTGTAACTAACTGTAAGAAATAAGTTTAGGACAAAGTCTATTAGACAGTATGACGTCACTCTGCAACTTCAACGTAATTTGCTGGGTAGAAGCCCTCTTTCCCTCCGCTCAGGACTCCTCGACACCAACCCTGGTCATCCTCCTCCTCGACCTTCAGGAACACTTCACCTGGGATCACAGAAAACAGAAGTCTGTTAATCGATGTTTGTGTTTCAATAAATAGTGAGTTATGTGTGTCATGATACGCAAAGTTTTAATTTTTAGTTTACTTTGACTTTAAAGTACTACCAACCAACATCATGGGAGTGTTCCGACTGTTCTTATTATTTGACACTTTGACTGTACCATTCAACTCTAGCGGCACAATGCATGTTTAAGCCATTGCAAAAATGCCAGAAGATGTTGTTCCTATTAAGGCCACTTGGTGTCTGCTCTAAATTTCAGTAACGAATTATATCACGGTCAAATGTGAATGAAGAATTACATATACAAAGTTTTAGCGGTGGAGCACAAAAGACAGCTCTCTTTAAAAAATGTACATTCCACCATTTTCATGTAAATCGCCACATACGGCCACAAAGAGAACATTCTATAAAACATAAACTAGCCAACCATATTATGAGCATAATAATGTCAACAAGCATCTTATAACGACTAAAAACATTTAGTACATGCACCAAAACATAAAATGTTACCCAATATTCTTCCAAAATACAAAGCATGTGCAATTTTCAAATAGTTTTTTGATAAGTTAGGAATAGAATATATTTTAGTTAGGAAATATTATTTTAGAGTGTGTGTTTTAATTTTATTTGATTGACTGTTCTGTTTGCTTAGCTCACCTCAGCTTGTCTTAGTTGTCCAGAAGTGTCTGGTTACTAAACTTACTGAAGCCTTGCAAATGGTACTTTCATGTTTTTTTGTTAAGAGAAACCTAGACTTTGGCGCCTCCTTTTTTGCTCTATTATAAGGCTTCAGAAAATGTAACCAGAGATGGGAGACTTTAGCCAAATTGCAGGTCATTTCAGCGAGGGTGTTCCTATTGGCTTCTCTACAGATGCGAATGGGTGTGTGTGCACGCCCCTTTGGGGAAAGCATGATTTAACGGCAGAATCACAACCCAGATATCATGTAATGTAACATCAGTAAACTGCACACAGCACATGCATGTTTACTAGCCTGCCGTCATTTTAGAGGGATGGGATGCATTTGTTGTGGTCACACTGAAATTTATACTGATGCAATGTTTGTAATTTATTATAAAAATCCTATTATAGCTTTAAAACACTGAGAATAACACTACTGTCTGATACATTTGAGTGTCGTCACATCACACTTTAGGTGTCACCTGCTTTAAAGGACAGCTCATCGCCCTCCTCTCCCATGTAGTCATACATAGCTCGCACCTTCACACCCCCGATCATCACACTAACAGGAGAAGACGTGGATGTTTGAACAATCAGAAATACACAAATATGAATTGGAATAAAATATATGTTGTTCTTTTTTTTAATCATATATTGAAAGAACTACACGGGATTACTTACGGTCGATTCTCTTTTATTTTCATCTTGTCTCTTTTCTTTCTATCTAGCTTTTTTATTGGTGGGACCCATTCCTGATGAAAAAGATACACGTTTAGGTATCAAATTTATCAACACTTTGCTAGAGTAAAACAGCTACGATAAATGCAAATATTCACACAAAAATAGGAAAATATATTGTTTATATGGCCGTGCATTTCTTTAACTGAGGTAAGCACAAGAAAAACAACACAAGAAGGTTTACACAAAGCAACAATATACATTTTAGAAGATCAGTATGTCCACATTTAGTTCATGATGTCTCTGATGTAGGACTCCAAAAAAGTCTGTTTCTGATAAATACTGCATTTACTTATTCCATTGTTGGAGTGCAACATTGTAACATACATCAATCTTTGGCCAGTCGGTGGGCATGCCAGGACCGTGGTTGTTCTTCCACCATTTCAGATCATCTTGCTCATTGATGGACATCAGAGTGTGGTGGAGCTCACTGTACACCGCCTTCACACTGACACAAGGACACGATAAATACACAGAGACACTTGCTCAGCACTATCCCCGAACAAGCAATTTATTCACACCCAGTCACCTGATGGCTGCTCACCTCTCATTGTTGGTGATATCAAGATGTCTGTGGATGGAGAGGAAGGCCTGCTTCAGAAAGCTGATCCTCTTCCTCTCCTCCTCCTGGGACTCTTCAAAAATGGCTTCCATCTCCTCCATGTAGCGAGGTGTGTAAGACGTCGCTTCCTCCAGCAGTTTCTCATAGCGGTCTCTAATCTGTAGGCAGGGCACAAAACTATTTTATGACGAAAAGTAAAACATCTACTGCGTTTGAATGAAGGATCATCTAAAATGTATCAATCATCTGGTGCTCTTTACTGTTGCCATGTTGGGCTCCATAAACACAGAGAAGTGTAACAATAACACATCGCCATACAAGGCAAATGCTTGGAACAGAAACTTAAGGCTGGGGCTTGTGTTTAGAGTTGATAGTGCAGTACCAGATGCAGCAGGCCAGCAAATCCTTCTTGGAATGCAACATGTTTGACTTTGTGGCATGTCGTGAATCAGTGATTGGGAATTTAAATGTGCTGTGAATGAAGCCCTTATTCAACATGCATGACCTGGAGTGCAGTGGTGCAGTGTTTTAACATCCCTCCTCACCTTTTCTTTGTCCTCTGAGACCATCTCTCTGGCCTCTGTGATTTTCTGCTTTTTCTCTGGACTCATCTCAGAGTTTTCGTTAGCTTGTTTTTCTTTGTCGAGGGCTGTTTGCTCCCTCTGACAGGACTTGTGATACACAACGCGGGCCTTCTCCAGCTGATAAATACACATTCACACACATATTATTTACTTTAAGGAAATTAGATTTCTTATCGAACACTAAATATGAAGCTCTGGGTAGAGGATGGTTATGCTATGCTAGACTGGAAACAGGAAGAAAACAGCTTGCGTGGCTCTGACTAAAAGTTTAAAATATATATTTTAAAAAAACGTCTAAAGCTCACTAATTAACATATGATATCTTATTTGTTAGATTTGTATAAACAAACTTAGTGATAGTGTGTACAGCCGGCATATTTTAAGATCTTAGTCTGTGATCTAAGAGATTTATTTTGTTTCTGTCCAGTTTGAATGAAAAGTGTTTGATGATGAGTTAACAAGGCTATTAAGCCTCTTAGTTCGGTGTAAAAGAGAAACCTGAATTAAAAAGGTGTACAGTTGTATTCTTCAGTTTAGGTGTAAGAATATTTCCTTCATTGATTGTTTTTAGGGTTTAATTTGTTTATTTATTAGACTTATTGAAATCCCTGTTCGCACACAAAGCATTCTTGTACATGTATAGGCACAGCCTGCACGGCTCCGCAGGAGGAGCAATCAGCTTTCTCCGTCAATATAGCATGCACTGGGTCATGTATTTCTTTAGTGGAATACATACCATCCACCCTGATTGGACAGCCACATAAAAGATGGTAAATTTTCCCTTAATTGTACTTTCATTTTCATTCAAGTAAAAAGCAGTGCTTTTAACAATTATGGAAAAAATGTATGCATAACTTTTAGCAATAGTTTACATTCAATGAAGTTGGTAAACTTAGTTTACAAGGGATTATGTGGTGGACACCAAATCCCCTTAAAACCACAATGTGTCAATACAACTTGTTAATCAACGTACATTTTATGCTAAGTGTAGCTAACTGTCTCCTGGCTGTATCTTTATATTTAATGTAAAGACTTTTCAAAATTCTTTTCTATTATCTATACAATATTCAGGGCATTAATAGAGCAGCAAACAACTATTTTCTATCTAAAGATACAGTGGAGTAATGTCTACCCGAGTAGAAAAAATTGTCTGTCTGTCCGTCTGTCTGTCTGTCTGTCTGTCTGTCTGTCTGTCTGTCTGTTGTTATCAGAGCTTCTCTCCGCTTTGTTGACATAGCCAGGCCAGTCTTGTGTGCTTTTTAGTGCACGTTTGTGCGCGAGAGCGCGCCCCACTGTGGCTAGCTCATAGCCACCATAGCACCCATACGGTGGTTATAGTTACTAACGCCATGGCATCGTTGTAGTGCCCACTCTGGTTCCGGCTTAACACTGTTCGCTGTGTCCATACTGTTGCCGTCGTCTGCACTGTAAGCATTGTTTGCACTGTAAGCTTCTAGCGGCAGGCTCAGCCATCACAATAGATACGCTCTGAATTTTGTATTGAGCACCATTAAAACATATTGAAAATCTTTTGTTGCTCTACATGACAGTTCATTTTTGACCTTTGAAATAGGAGTTTGACAAAAAATCCTATTCTTTTCACATTATTCTGAGCTTTCAGTTGCTTCTTGTGGTTTTCATCTGCAGATGGAGTTGCCAATTGATACCTTGTGCAAACATTTGCTAATAAACACCATGAAATGCAAAAAAATGGTTTCTTTTTGAGTAAAGCAGCCATTGCTACTTCTGACCTCCATCACAAGCATGTCACACGCACACGCACCTTCGTCATCTTTTTGGACCAGGGTTTCTGCGCACGAGAAAAACTTGTGTTGTTGTTGTGGCTCTCCCTGAACCCACAAAATAGTTTCTTTGGAAAGGTCTCCTTCTGCCAGGTTTTCACGCGGCCGCCTTCCTCCACCATGAGGGACTGGGATATGGAGGAGTGGAGGGCGGACAAACGCTCGGTGGAGGTGAAGAAACATTGCCATGCCCTCATGAGGGAGCCATAAAGTGGTCCTGGGAAAGGAGAAAAAAAGACTGAGGAATGAAATAACAGAGCACAGAGGTCATGGAACCAGCAGAGAAATAATAGACTCCCATTTGTAAAGTTTCAAACAGGCACAGATGCAGCCATTTAAAATACATCATGATGTTATTTTAAGCCGATGTCGACTGAGATGATCAAAAAGACCTGGGAATGCGTGTTCCCATTTTCAGGCTACCCATCATGCAGCTCCTAATACTTACGAGAATCCACTATGGACTTCCACTTGCTGCTCCATTGGCTGAGCTGCTGGGCGTACTGTTTCTCTACTTTTGCTCTCTCTGTGAAACAGGCCACAATGTCGTTGCAGGCCTGGAAGGACTGTTGAGTTCGGTGCACTGTAGGCACATAATTTCCTGGCTGAGAGGAGGAATGGTGATATGTAAGAATAACAACCCTGCAGAACTCAAGTATGTACTGTACATTCCCAAACACACATGAGGACCGATTTAGTTTAGCTATTCCTTGCATCATAGTGTTGTTAGATTCAATCATAAATATAATCCTCACCATCCAGAAGCTCTGTTTCTTGACATCCTCCGGCGGCTCTTTGGGAAGGCTCGCCATTGTAGGGAGCGTGTCTGTCTCAGAAAGTAAGAGATAGCCGTTTGTGTTACACGAGAGCCTTGCTCGACTGGTTAAGATGCATAATGAGCAAGGAAAGAGAGCGTGTGGCAGACAGGTGACATTGATAATCACGCAACAGGTCGGACGTCTACACTATGTGCAGATACAGCAGGCCGACTTCCTCATAAACAGAACTGTTCCTCCTGCATGGCAGGCAAGTCTGATAGGAAATAATTGGCGGCTGAAACCTTACAGTGTGTGTGTGTGTTAGTGTGTTGCAGAGCTTATTGCCATAACAACTTTGATGATTCTGACGAGGTGTTATTTACACTGTACAGTGCTTGGATACATCCAAGAAGCCCCCTGGTTCGGTAAGAGGAGTGTCATGCAGTAGCAGACTGGAATTCACAGGGGTGGGATCTGCCAGTAGGAATAGAGCAGCTGCTCCAGCATTCTTCCTGTTGCCTTCCCAAAATAAACAGCACGGAAAGGTCATCTTTCCCTTTGCTCTGACTAATACGAGGCCTAACAGAACCAACTGTCGCCCACTCTTACTCTTCCTGCCTATCGATATGGAGATCATGACCGCAAGAGCAAGATTTCTGCTTTGGCATACAAATGGGAATGCAGGATTTAAAAGGAATTCAACTGTCCTGACATTTTTGCACAGCTTGTAAAGCAAAGCCCAAGTGTAGCATATACATTGGAGGGAGATTGAACAAAAGAAGAGAGCTGCATGCACGAACACGCAAAGGACGCGGTCACATTCAGGCCTATTTCTGTCTGAGTAACAAGTTGGCACATTGCTGGCTGAGTAATATGAAAGTGACTAACCACACCTCATCACAAGACTGAGCATGACGGAGAGTTAGGCTCACTTGCTGGTGTAAATGCATATATTATCATGTCATTCCTTCTTTTTTTCAGTTACTATGAGCTCCTGCAAGTCGAAACATGGAAAGGAGTACCTGAAGGCTCAGCTTAAATTTCCATTTTTTCACTTTGTCTGATTCTGTTATCCACGCAAAGGAAAGGAACATCTTATACACTCATTTTATCTCACAGAATCATTCATATCAAAGTATTTTGATGCTAAAAAAAACTCCATCCACAAGCATTAAAAAAAGAAGCAAGAAGTGGCAACAGAGCAGTCATGCCTGGCAGCACTTACATTTCTCTCTGAATCACCAGTGATTACTCAAGTGACCACTTGTTACTGTAGTTCAAGGGCCGAGGATTTTCTCTCCATTTCTCTGTCCGTCTCCCGCTCTCTCAGTGTGCCTCTCTTCCTCTAACACATGTTTCTCTCTCCGTTCTCACTGACCCAATTTTCCCTGGGCACTTAAAGTTACACACACACACACGTTGTCGATCTAAAAGTGGGCGTGAGACACCGAGACAATACAAAAATTAACCAAATCAGAGCCTTTGCATGGTAATCACTCCGCTGCTAATTGGCTTCAGGGCAAACAAAGAGGGAGGAAGAAACTTACCTTTCTTGCTCTCCTGTCAGCTGCGATATTCTAGTTCACAGTCATGAACTCTTCTTCCTCTTTCTCTTCTGTTCCCTACTTTAACCCCATCCTTTGCTTCTTTGACTCACTGGCTTCACTCCCTATCAGTTCTGTTTAGCTCTTGGACTATCACCCTCTCACTTACTCTCCACTGTAGAAAAACAGCTGGAAGAATCCCCCTCTCTCTCCATGCCTGTCCCTCCCCGTCTCTCTCAATATGGTGCTAATGAGATGCTGAACCTTCTTTTTGACCGTTCGCTGGTCACAGAAACGTGTCAATGTGCCACAGAGTCATGTGAGCTTATTAGTGAGTGTGTGTGACAGCAGGGGGGTGGGGGTGTCCCATGAACTGCCACATTAGGCCTATATGCCCCTTTGTGACCTGCCATTCTCTCCGTGGTCAGGCCTAGAAAGAGAGCATGTCAAAGACAGTACAGTATGCAGCATGTTCACCACACACTTGTTGTGAGATTTTACTCTTCTGGATATCAACCAGAAGTTAAAGGAGAACACAAGAGTTACAGTTCACATACTGCTGTCTAGATCTGCTTTATATTCCTCAGTCTTTTTGAGATACATGCTGTGTGTAATCAGGTTTAAAACAGCACTTGTTCTTAACAGCTTATTCAGAGCCAGAAAAATTCAAAGGACATTCACCACCCACCATACATGAGATATTGTTACTCACTAGTGGTTGCAGAGGGTTAATATCAGTTTGGGCAAGTGTTCCTTTAGGCTCTACAGAATAAGGAGCCCTGGAAAGAAACAATTAAATCCTAATTATTCATTAAGAATAAGAATAAAATATTTAAAAAACAGTTTGACAGTACAGAAACAACCAGAACAATGGAGCGCACACACCTATGGGACCTTGGAAGGTCATAGAACTTCTATTTGAGATTATCTTTATATATATATACACACGTTACATATATTGAGTCTCAACTAATAAATACCGTTTTTTTTAAGAGACAATCTGTTTTTTAAACATGATATCGAGCGTCGTACAAAAAAAATCTCAGGGTGATGTTAGGTTTCTACTATAGAAACAAAATTTAAGTCAAGCGACACTTCTATCATCAATTGATTATGGTAATGATATATATGCATGCAAGTACATCCTCTGAAAATGTTAGGAAAGACCAAGAATCAAATTGTAACGTAGCATGATATTCTAAACCCTCATCGTGGTGTGAGGTAGAAATAGATTATTTTATAAGCATGCAAGATTTTAAAAACAGGATTAAGGATTAGTTGAGCACTTAATGTACTTGTCCTGACACTGAATGACAATTCTTTGGTTAAAGCAATTTGTTGATTTGTTTGAAGTCTGTCATCTCATTCTTTCTTCTCTTTTTATGTTGTTTTTAACTTTTTGTTAAAGTCTGTTATTTGTGTTTTGACGTGGTGCTTCTGTGAAACAGTTCTGCTGCCATCTCGCTCATGCAGGACCCACTTGAAATAAGACAAAACATCTCAATGGGATTCTCCTGGCTTAATAAAGGTTAATAGAAATGTGTGTCGACTACTTTTGCAACACAAAGTTCATCACGGACCATCAATCAGAAAACTTTGCCGGTACAACCCAGCACTACCACTGCCCACACTGCCCACACTGCCGGGCGCTGGGTGAATTTGAGTTGCTACAGCTTACTGAAGGTCAGTCTCCAGAGCTGCCGCTCACTCTCCTCCCAGAGAAGTAGTCCCCTAGTGTAGTCACGCTCCACAGACTACACTGTGAACAGCATCCATTGAAAATACAGATGGGTGACAAATTAGAGGGAAAACCTGATTAAATAAGTTAAAAAACATAAAGAAGCAGTTGCTTGATGATGACATACTGTGGCCTGCGCAGTCAGCAGATCTCAACCCAACGTGTATGGGAGATTTTAGACAGCTCTCTCCTCCACCATAATCCAAACACTAAATGAAGAAACATGTTTTGGAAGAATGGTGTACATTTCTTTTTGTGTTTTTCTCTGTGGAAGTTTTTTTTCATACTGTGAGAAGAAAAATAGCAGCTTGTGGCCTCATCCCCACAGAGATAAACAAGCCCTGACATCTATAATTTTGGTAATTATGAGCAGACTCCTCAGTTAGAGAGCTACAAAGCAAAGGCAACCTGGACAACTGGCAAAAACTGGCCACCATGCTCAGCAAACAATCTCACACAATCTCCTTCCAAGCTGTTTTTCATTCTTAACAGGTGTCTTTCAGTGTGCTGCATAAATGCAGCCACTGCTTGCTTTGAATTAAGCCATCTCATCTTCTCCCTCCCCGCAAGCTCTACTCTTTTGTCCTATTAGCTCACCGAGCCTGATGGGAATATAATCCTGGACCTGAAAACAATGTTGTGTTCAACCACCGCAGGGCTGAGAAGAGCTGCTGCCAAATTACTCAATTCAAACACAGCACTTTAAATTGGATCATTATGTGAAACTGTCAGAAGAGGGAATCCAAGGAGAAATGAGAATCACGACAGGGCCATATTATATTTTAGCATTTATTTCAACACCTTAGTTGTACCTCTATTATATAGTGTATCAGTATATACTTTATTTTATTCAAAGCAAAACTCTATTTATTTATATATATATATATATATACCTTTTATCTCTGCATATTTATGCTCATACTGTATGCAGTCATATTCAATATGCATTTTACTAGACCTAAAAAACTCTTTTAAATCATAGTATGCAATGCTTTCTACACTATTGCTCAGTCCTTCACATTCTCAGAATAGTTAATCATGAGATAGCAGTGAGGCAACTCAGCATGAGAATACAGAGTCATCATTTTAAACTCACATAGAGAGAATACACATTAACTAACGTGCGTCAGCTTCACTGGGGTTCACCACAGGGCGAGCAGTATAGAAAGCATTTACAGAAAATCAAAAATGAAACAAACAAAACAAAGCTTCAAAGAATTTCTCCACACTATTTGGAAGACGGAGATTCTTAAAAATGTTTAAATACTTAAATATTATATCTATTATACTATATTTGTATGTTATTGTCATCATCATCATTACATATAGATCTATAAATGATGTGTGTTTGCCTTACAGTTGAATTCACTGCAGGGAAATGGCTAAACTGGCATGTTAAAAAAATTCTGGGAGTTCATCTTCACATCAAAGCAACATATGTAGTATTTGCTTTAAGTTTGAAAACTGTGTTTCTTTTTGAGGGTTAATGTGTGGAACGGGGAAACACTGGGGATTGTCAACTATTGAGAAAAAAACAATATTTTCTGACCATTATAAATATGTTTTGGAAAAGGCATTAGAAAGAGAAAAGTGTTGGTCAAGGAAAGCGTTTGGCTGACGCACTAAATCAGACACACAGAGACTCACAGAGGCTGAAGGTTGAGGTTCAGGTAGTCAGAGAAGCAGTAAAAAGCCCTTATTGATCACTGCACCTGCTGTGTGAGAGAGAGCCGTCAACATTATGGCATCAAAGAGGACGGATCCATCCCTTGACCTGTGCTATGGCAATTAACACCAGTAAAGAAAAAAAAAAAAAAAAAAAAAAGACGATTTGCAGTTAAAAATGTCATACAAACCCTTTCAATTCCTCTTTTATACATTTCATCTCCTTTCTATAGAATAATCAGGAAAATAATAAAAGGTAATTTCACAACAATATAATCTCAAAACTTGTACGTCCTCATTATGCACAACTTCAATTCAACAGTTATAAATACCCTGACCAGTTTGAAATGAATGATTGCGATAAGCACTTTGTACAAAACATATGGTTCTACTATAGTAGTGAATCCCGTTTAACATGTAAGATATATTTAGTGCTCGCAAATACATACATACAAAGCTTATTGGGGTATCCTTTGGGGTAATATGGCAAAGATATAAAGAGAATACCAATATTGTCTACCATTTTATCTATCATCATTTACAAACAAATCTCTCATATTCTGACTTTGGCTCCTGTACTCAGCCATTTGATACTCTGATCTGCTTAAAGCTTCAAATATGATGTTAGGATGGCACTGTTTTACCCAGAGTTTCTGGCTCAGCCACAGTCAGTAACACTTTATTGGGGTCTACCCTTTAAGCAGCAACTTTTCCATTTTTCTTTGAACTCAGACTGAAGTTTTCTCAATACTGCTAAACAGCAGATGGTGTGAGAATCCATCTGTCAGTGTGTGTGTGAGAATAAGTGTGTGTGTATATGTGTTTGTCTTTTACAGCACAAAACGGCGTGTTAATTAAATGCCTGTCCATCAAAAGTTTTAAAGTATATTTTCAGTTGAAGAGCGTCATTTTCATATGATATTCATAACGTCCTCGTACCCTTTCTTGACCAAAAGTCATCCCACAAATTTCAACAGTATTCTCTAAATGTGGAGCCAATTTGAAAGAAAACTCCCCCCAAACACATTCAGCCCTTCTTAGTCTAAGTTCAACACAACCTGTTGATGTCCACTGCTCTTCTCTTGCACATCTTCTGTTATTGTCCATCTTTGTCAATTAGTTTCTCTCCCTTTCTTTCATCTTTGAATCACCCCTTCACTCTCTCAGTCTGTGTCTTGGAGGGAAGTAGTGACATGCAAAGGAGAGGAGAGCCGCCTGGGGGAGAGAAGGAGGGCAAATCAATAAGAATAGAAATGAAATAAAGGCGCAGCAAACTAAATAGGTTTGATAAAACTGGTAAATAAAGAGAAAAGGGTCGGAGGGAAGATGAGATAACGTATCAAATTATATGCATCTAATGAAGAAAGGGGACGGCCCAGCTAACTTGACTGTCCTTCACCATCCAGTGCTTCCTTTTTTGACCTTTGACCATATTGCCTCTATGTGTTCCAGAGTCTATTAGTCCTCCCTCACCTGTCAGTGAGTTTCTTCAGCGCCCTCTCGATGTTCATGCGGTGTCCCACACGTGTCACTCCCAGGTCCAGGAAATCATCCTTGGTGAGCGAAGGCAGATGTGATCCATCTATCTCATTGTCTATAAAACGCTCTCTGTGTTCCCCCAGGTTTAGGTAAGCCAGCCAGTCGGCCACATCGTACTTGGTCCAGTAGGGCAGGGGCTTGACAGCAAAGGGTTTGGCTGGCGCAGGAGGAGTGAGATGGGGATAGTTGAGGCAGGATGGGCTGAGGGGCAAGTGTATGGGGGATGAGGCTCCAGAGAGAAAATGGGTGGGGGAGAGAGAGCGGGAGACAAGTAGGGGGTTCGCACTTGGCACACCAGATGGGGAGAAGATTGGAGGAGTTGAAGTCGCGTAGGTATCTCCTAGAGGGATTCCAGGCGAAGGAGGGGTGAGGGGCCCGGGGAAGTCAAAGGGGTTGTTGTAGATAGGTGTAATGGGAAGGATTGGGAGAGAGGAAGGCCTGGGAGGAGTTGGGTTTGACTGTTCAGTGTTATAGATAAGAGGACTGGGAGCTCGCCGTCGTGAGACTGAAGACCGCATCTCCTTTGTGGGACTGCACTGAAAATCAAAAGTCTGCCCGCGCAACTTGGACCGATGCTTTGGCGACGTTGGGTATGGGCAGTAGGTCGGAGAATGGGGAGGGTGTGCATGAACTGGGGAGGTAGGCATCTGTGGAGATGGGGAGCGGGTCCAGTTGCGTTGAATTGGGACTTGAGAGGATGGGGAGACAGAAGGAGTGGCCGACAGATTTGGTGTTAGGATCTGACGATGCTGTGGAGAGGAGGTGGGTAATGGCGAGGTGGAATGGCCAGAAGGGGGGCTATGAAATACATCCGTGAAATCCGCTGAATACCTGAGAGACAGACAAACAACAAACTTCAGTTAAAAAAAGCAGATATGCAAACTTTCATATTAATATTAAAGGCCGGTTAATGAAAACAAACAAACCTATGCATGGTGGGTGACTTTGGAGTGTGGCTCCAGTCATCCATGCTCTTCATATGTTGTAGCTTGGAGCTTAGCTCATTGATGATGCTCGCCTTCACGCCAGCAAGAGGGGAGTGAAGTCTGCGGCCCTCCAAAACGATACCACCTCTCTGTACTCCATCTCCACCTTGCTCATGCTCACCAACCTCAACCCAGTTCACCGACCGAGGGTCTATCTGCCTCTCTAAGCAGGCAGCCAGAGAGGTGTTGAAGCCATCCTCCATTTTGGATCGACTCTGCTTGCGCTTCCTTTCATCTTCGAACACTTCTAACCTAACATCGTCCGGGTTGCTTGGTCTGTGCAACTGCAAAGGAGCAGGGTTGGTGCTGTTCTGCCTACGTAGTGCAACAGGCGGGCACCTCCCTCCTCCCTCCTTGTAATGAGTCATCCTTGGAAACACTGGATTTGCCAGTTTGGCACTGTGCAACTCAAATGTTTGCCCACCTGAGTAGGTTGTGCAAGGATCCTGATGCTCACTTCCTCTCTCTCCCTCTTCTCCTCGCCCATCTCCTCCAATCCCTCCCCTCTCTCCTCTTAGCCCACTCAATCCCAGCATTTCTAAATGGTGGTCGCTACTGCTGTGACTGTCAAGCTCCTCAATCCCAGAATCCACCACGGCATCTTGCCAGTCTCCACTCTTCGGTGTAACAGTAGGGTGATGAGTATGGTCAGCGGCTTTGCCCCCTGTGCTGAGGCCAGTCTTGTGCCCGGCCATGGTCATACTGTAGTCAGAGGATCCTGGTGAGGTTGTGGTGGTGGGGGCTGCAGTGGATGTCATGGTAGTGGTAGCATAGGTAATGGTGGCTGTGCCTCTATCCTGGGCCGTGATGTGACCACCTACTGAGGGGTCGTTAGAGCTGCCATAATAGGGGTGAGAGTGAGACATGGGCTGGGGTCTGTGTAGTGAAGTGGCAGGCAAAGGTGTAGCGGTGTTGGTAGTGGCGGGCGGAGGGGGAAATATCTGTGGGGACGGATAAGATGGAGAGAGAGCCGATTGTGTAAGGTTGGCCACCTCACTGTCATAGGATGTAAGGCTGGAGGCAGCAGAGTCCCCACCCTGTGAGGAGGGTTGGGGAGCATTTGAGTGCTTGCTAGATGGAAGAGAGGGTGGAGGAGGTGGTGCAACAGCAGCAGAGTGTTGACTCCGGTGTTGATGCTGCTGAGGATACTCCTGGACTCTCTCCTTCTTACCATTAGCAAACTGTATAGGAGGGGGCAAGGGATCTGAAAAGACAAACTCATCCTCTGCATCTATTGAGGGAGCTGGTGGAGGGAGAACCATCAGTCCTAGACCTCCACCCGCCCCTGCTCTAGTTTCATGCGTCTGTGCGGGGGCTGTGGGGACAGTATACTGAGGGACGTAGCTGGTGTTGGGAGCACTATCCATCTGCAGAAAGGAAGGTCTTCGGGGTGCGGGTTGAACCGGCGGTGGAGGAGGCTGCATGGGTGGAGCAGGTCTGCTGTCATACACCTCCTTTTCTCTTTCTCTCTCCCTGGGGCTCTGTGGGTAATACTGGGTTGAATACTGACTGGTTCGGTCCTCTGAGAAGCGAACTCTGAGACCCTCCCTTGGCGCTCCTTCCTTGTCTCTCTCCATCCTCTCCCCACCTCCTCCTCCCAAACGTAATATCCTTGGTGACTGTGGCCGGCTCATAGATGCAGGCGAGGTGGTGGCGGTGGGGGAGCTTAGGTGGACGGATACAGGGGAAGTGTAGGCAGATTGTGTAGGGGTTGCAAAAAGTGAAGGAGTTGGGGTCTGAACAGGAGTAGGGAATGCTCCTACTGTGGACAGCTGCCGACCAAAGTGTCTCTCCTCTCTGCGTGTCCTGCGGTCATCTTTTAGGGCCCTCTCTCTTGCAGCTAGGGCCAAGCCAAGTGGGGACGAGGGGTCAAGAACTTTCCCTGTAAGTGGGTGGATGAAAGTAGTAGTGGCCTGGGTGCCATACATTGAGGGAGCTGACTTGGGCTGGCCATCCTGACCAAGAACAGGGGAAGAATACTCAGGCAGGCCAAAGGCTGGGGGCATGCTGCTGGAATAGTGGACATAGCTGTCTCCCGAAAACATGCCCTCATCTATAGACTTGGAGGGCCGTAGACGAGGGGTGGGCACTTCCATTTGTATGCCCTGTAACGGCTGAATTCTTGCCCCTATTGCTCCTCCTCCCTCCTCTACTCCTCCCTCTGCCTCTCCTTGAATGTCCTCCTCAGTTGATAGGAAGAAAGAAGCACTCTTTCTTCTCATATCTCGGAAACGTTCTCTTTCCCTGCGTGCCCCTCCTCCTCCAAAGGCCGTACCGTATGTTGACGTGTAGTCCAAGTTTTCCAAGTTTTGCTGCGAGGAAACAGATGGGGCAACAGTTGATGAAGGCAAGGATGTGGGTGTAGGGGGCTGAGGTGGCAAAGGGGTGAGTGGTGAGGGTAGACTGGTGTTGGGGCTGTCTGAGGTCGTATCTGCTGAGGTGTGGTCTTCAACATGGCGGAGGGGCTCAGCTTCCATGCTGCTACCCTGGCTGCTTCGCCCACTGCTGCTGGTTGAGGGAGCTTTGACAATGATGGTGGGGATGGGGATGGAGCTCTTCTCTTTGGCTGCAACTCCTTTTCCTCGGTGCTGTCTCAGCCCATCCTCCACTTTCGACTGTTTCATCAGAGCTCCTCGACCACCCCTCCTGGTTGTACCCCTGCCAACCCCTCCACCCTGCTCCCGGTTGGCCATGTGCGGGTGATGTTGCGGTGCTGGTGGGGCCTTTGGCTTAGCACTTGTTGGTGGTGTAGCACTGCTGTAGCCTCTCCTTAACCCTCCCATTTTGCCACCACCTCTCCTGGGCGCCTCCGGCTCTCTGACACCCAGTCCATCAGATTGTCTGCGGAGGGTGGGGACCATGGCCTGCTGGTTCATCCCACCAGGCCCACCCCTCTCCCAGCCTGCTTGAGTAGCATGCCCTGGCTGGGACTGGAGCTGGTAGTGGGCTTGAGATACAGGGGGTATGGGCATAGCAGGCCCTCTCACAGGATGAGGGCCTGCTGATAAAGGTGGCTCTGGGGCAGATGTGTTAGGGGGTGGGGGTATCTCCTCCGGTCCCGGCACCGACAGGCTGCGAGCCAGTTTCATAGCGGGTGGGTGTAGATACTGTCTTTCCTCCTCTGTTACACCTGAGAGCAAGAAGACAGGTTTTTATATAATTAAAAAGAAACTATTGAGCAGGCAGAAATCTTTCCATGACGATTGTCATTACCAATAGATTTTTGACGTATCATGACTGCATGCTGAGTGTGGCCGGGTTGAAAATGAGCTTGGTTGTAGCCAAAACCTGGTCCGGGCTGCACCATACTCACTGATGACTGATGCTCATAGGGTTGCTTCAATTGTCGAAAAACATTTTGAAAAGGGACAAAAAGAGAATTTGAAAGGAAGAAAGGAGTAAAAGAGAGAAGAGGAAACATTAATAACACATAATCAAATCTAATTGATGTCGGCTGTTAAGCTGATATACAGTATAATGCAATATAAAAGAACCAGTCAGTCTGAGTATTGGAGTATCAGGCAACAGAGCATGGATGCATGAACACAAACTGCCTCACACTTAAATAAATGTTTTAGTGTGGTTGATCCATTGTCAATCATTTTCTATAAAGTGCAGTGAGAGCAGGAGAACGTACACAGCTGAAAAACAGAGCTTAAGACCAAGCCGCTTTAAACCTTTTCTAGCATTAGTCACGTCCATGACTAAATATCTGCTGTATCCTAAATCAGCGGAGAAGCTCTGTTGTATGTGAATATGGTATGGAAGCAGGACCATGATTAGGGTAACGACCAAAACTATGACCATCTCTTTTCCATTCTCAACAATACCTCATTGGAGACATTGGGAACAACACTCTTGCTCCGGTCCCTCTTGCCTCCATGACCCCTCTGGCCCTGGTTGTCTGGAGTAATAGTGTGTTGGGCAGCAGACAAGATTTCATCCAGTTTATCTAAAACAAAGACCAAGCAGGGGCAGGGCAGGAAAGAAATGTAGAGAGAAAGTGAGAGTGAGTATAAAATAAAAGGCAGAAACATGAAAAGAAGGATTCCCTCCCATCCCCTCAAGGTTTAAAAACACCCTTTTACAGTATGACAAGAGCGGTGAGAGAGATTTCTTACTTAGTGCCATCTGATAGACGGTCCTCTTCTTATCAGGACCAAGAGAGGACTCGTATTCTGAAAAAGGAGGGAGAAAAAGGAGCATCAAACAGGCTAACTTTTAATTAAAGCTCAGGGGCTGATGACTGGTAACGATTAAGGCTGATATTCACCTGCTTTCTTTTTCCATGGAGACGCAGCTGTAGCAAACATAATTTGGAAAACAGAAATTAGGTGTGACTAGAACTGCTGTGTAGTCATGTGTATTATTAGGCAGTTGACATAGCTGGATGAAATACATACTCGGACACATGTGATGGTGTGAATACTGATGTGATGAGAGGAATGGTGATGGGGACGGAAATGATAATGAGAGCACACAAATCCGTGATTCTCCCACCTTTGTCCACTGTATGCAGAAGCATATTTGGTCCAAAAGAAAAAGAAAAAGAAACAAACCAATTTGTGACTGATGGCACCAGACCAGTATCATTTCACAACCTGTTCAGTTATAACCTTTGTTATTCATAGTTAATACCAAACATGCAAATTAATCTAAAAGCTCCTTTCACATCAAAGTATTGCTAATGAAAAAAATGATATTGCCCCAGTAATGGATAATTCTCTTGGCTATCTGCATCATCTCAGGTTCAAATTTAATGATGTGTTTCCCTAATAGTGCCCTAGTAGTGTACCATCATCCAGCAGAGAAGCTGATAACTCACATTTCAAATGTGACCCCCCCAGAAAAAAAAAACTGGTGGGGCCTATAATCTTTTAAAAATAATAATTTCTTTCCCCCCCATCCTTTTAATTATTTGCAATCAAGCCTTTGCCTGCCCCCCCCCTATCACCTTACCCATGTCTTCCAGCTCTGATGTCATTGACTTGGAGCGCAGGGCAATGGCAGGAGGAGTCAGTCTTTTAGTCTGCTGCGGGGCTGCCAAGGGAAGCCAGCCAAATGCAGACTTAATGTTTAGTCTTCTCGTATAAACATGCAGTCACCATTGACAACCACATTCAAACAGGCTTTTAAGGCGAAGTAAACACGCAATCAGCTTTATCTTCACATCATAAACATGGGATGGAAATGACATACGAGGAAAGTTTGACTCGTACCTCTCTTCCGAGCAGTATCCTCCAGTTCAGGGTTTCGAGCAACCATCACAACTTTCACCATAAGGCTGTTGCTGCCCTGTCGGATCATATTGACCACCTGCCGGTGGCCAACCTTCACCACATTCTGGCCGTTCACCTTACAGACACAAAGACACGGAAGGACTTAATGAAGAATGAGCTGATCCACTTAAATGAAAGAAGAAAAGAAAAGGTAGGTACAAGCGAGTGGAGCAAAAAACTGAAACACACTTTACAGAATAACTGAGGGGCTTTTTGTGACCACTGGTTCACTTTGGTAATGCAGCTTTCCCATGTTTGGCATATGTTGTTGCAGATTTCAAAGACTTTTCTTCAAACATACATCATTTTCCAGTGTTTTGGACGAGTGCACCAGCAATTCAGGCAGCGACTACAGTAAATCACAGTTACAAAGGCTTGGGCAGCTACAGAAGTGACTCATATTAGGTTGAATACTAATTAGCAGATATGTCAGCTTTAATATAGGTTTGACAATCACAATTTTTAGAACTGAGTTTTTTCAGTAAACTAACGGGAACTTTAACAGGTACAAAAAGGCCAGAACGTTGCTGCTTGAACGGGCATAGAAACATGAAAGGGCATAGGTTTTATGCCTTAACTGATGTCCCACATTCACAGCCCAGCGAGGACACACATTTTGGTGGTGGGAGGAAACCAGAGCACAATCGCGAACACGAAGAACATGCAAACTCAACACTGACTCTTCTTGCTGTGAGGTGGCAACATGTGTGGGTAACATTTTGAGTAATAGTAACAAAAAATAAGTAAAAATTTGCAATCACAATCTTCTTTTCTGATCTCATAGAAATCCAATCTGCGCCTATCAGCTCACCTTAACTTGCAGAGTGCGTCTGGAGGTTCAGCACCCGGCTGCTTAATGATCGATGTCTTAGTTAATCAGACGCTGAATACACAAAACATTTAGAGACAAACCGCTTTCTTGTAAATATGGTCTGATGTGTTTTATCAATCAAATTGGTATTTACTGCAAGCTATTTTATTGTAAAGTGGTCCTATTGTCCACCCTGCAGATATCACTGATCTGTGATCAGTTCAGTGCATCAGTATTGGTGTACAGACTTCTCTTCAGGCTGCCTGGTCTTTTTCATTTCCTATATTTCCCAGAATGATTTGTGACACTCTCGGAGAAAAATGCCAGCACTTGTTGCATTTATTAGTGGGATTTTTTAAGTAAAATTGTATTCCCTCACTCAAAATGTAATATAGTGCTTCAGGTTCAGTTTGTGCGTTAGTGTCCAAAGTGCATCTGGTCCTTACCTCGATGAGGAAATCCCCCATCCTGAGGCCCGCCCTCCAGGCCACACCCCCCTCATCGACAGACTCCAGGTACTGCAGCGCGGGGAACGCTGGCGTTGGAGTGAACTCTTCTATGGGAGTCTGAGCTGCAGAAGACAAAATGTTAAGCATGAGTGGACACATAACTACAACATGGATTTGAGAAGAGGGAGGGTTAGAGGGATATAAAGAGAGAAAAAGAGCATACGAGACTGAGAAGGCTATAGAGACAGAAAAATATGAGGCAAATTTGGGTGAAGAGGCTCACCTTTGGCTCCCCTAAGCACAAAGCCAAAGCCCTCATTGTCTTTCTTCTGCAGGAGCACTGTCTTCTCCTTAATGATGTAGTCACTTAGAAAGAGTAAAGTGGGAGCAGAGGAGAAGGGGATGGAGAGAGACAGCGAGAGAAAGACAGAGAATAGGAGAGAAACAGAGCTATATGACTTCTATATCAACAGAAAAGTGTTATTGTCATGCAAATAAAGCCTTTTCTGAATGTGTAAAACAGCTATACTGCATCACATTATGATATCACACTGCAGCAAAAGAGGTTGGCTTGAGAATGTCATACAAAAAATGCTGGTGCACAAAAGGGTTGATGTCAGGGATACAGTTAGTGTCACAATGGGAGGAAGTGTATATGAGATGACATTCCATACTATGGACTAATCCAGCTAGAGCTGACAAGCACTGGGATGGGGGGGGAACGGCACATTAGAAAAATGTGCACACACACTTCCCTGATAATGGAAACTTCCAAATGCACCTAAATTGCTGCATTAGCTTTCGCTGCCTCTGGCAGCTTTTGCAAGGATAGTGTTTTACCGACTCCAGCGCTACCACTACCGGTCATACATGACACATCACATCATGGAGCAGAAGACATTGGACAGACCTCTGATCTTCCTCCACAAACAGATCCTCTTGCTAAGAGACCACAGCCTCGGAGGGCAGAAATGATCACAGACTTGATGCAAGCTTATCATCACACTTACAGTAGTGTAACAGCTGGCCCAGCAAACTCCTTCATTATTCTATTACCATGTCTGGGACTTTTGGCCAAGCTGCTTTACAACCCTTTCTCGAATATAGGACCGGTTTTAAATGGACTTCACACTGCCACACACAGCCACATCTCATGACTCATTTCTGGACTTGACTTTCCAACAATGTCAATTCACCCTGGTTATGTTAGAGAGCCCGGGGCTTGAGCAGAGCTGTATGATTTAAGAGGGATTCCAGATATTTCTTTCCGAGGCAGCTCATTCCAGTGTTAGTATGTGCTCTTCAACTTAAACCAAACTGACACTCCAACTGAAATCAAATCAAAGGATTTGATTTCCTAGAATGGATAACTGTGAGTGAACAGGATAAGTTGCCTGGTAGAAGAATTGTCTATATTTATAGTAATAGTTTGACTCCCAATAATGCAGTGAAAATGCTCCGGGTATACTCAAGGGGAATACATGTTTTTTCTTCTTCTATTAGACCCTCCCCCTTTTCAAATGGGAATTTGAGGTGAATTCTGTGTGCGTTCACACCTGGACCTTCATGAGAAGTAGTGTACGTAAATAGGAGTTTTCAGCCATGAATTCAATAATTCCGGGTATTGCCTGTATACTCTCGGGCTCCATACAAATTCTCAATTACAATTCTCCTTCGCTTGAATCAACGGACCCAAAACCGTGGTGCTAAATCCAACTTTAAATCTCTAAAGTAAACACAACCATTTGATTGGTTTCCTGACAATCAAGTTGGCAGGGTAACTTGGCCATGTAACCCTAAATAAACCCACAATGTAACATTTAAAAACGCCAACATTTTGATTTATTTTTTAGTTTTAGGCAGCAGATTTAAATATTTTCTACGTCTGGCAGAGGACCCCATCACTCCAACTTCATTCTGCCTCCGCCACTTGTGAAACACCCATGTGTATACAGGTCCTAAAATAACAAAAGCAGTAATAGAATATTCCACACCGCCTCTTACAGTACAGACCCAGCAAGGTGTTGTGTATTCAAGAGCATGTAATAAAGTTTGGCTGTGGAATCACAGATCACACAGAGGTACAGCGGAGGCATGAGCGTTGGCCTACAGGCCTGAAGATCCAGACTTCGACACCAAGTTGTAACTTTAGCACTGAACAGACGATCGCTAGTTTCCCCTACTGAGGTCCATCCCTTGTGTGTTCTCCATCAATGTTACTGTTTCGCCAACGCACAGCCGCCTTCCAGCCATCTGCTCCTCACACCTCATTCCTTTTTCTCTCACCCTGTCCTCCACCATGCTTTCCCTCTCTGAGGATCAAAGTAGCAAAGAGTGGGTGGACAAATCCATTGGGCTCTTCATCCATCCACTTCTACAAGGGGAAATGTGGCCTGCGTTGGTCCTCCAGGTGGTCTAAGTTGTGTTGCTGGCTTGCAGTAGCACACCTGATTTCCTTTACATATTTAAAAGCCATTCAACTTGTATGTCACCACATTGACCACTATAGCCTGGCCAATTAGGGCCATACAAATCGCAAAGTCCCTGGTTAATCCCTGTAGGCTTGTAGGACACACTCTTGTCTGAACTGGCTGCAATGAAGCTGTAAGCCTACTAGAGACCAGAGTTATTATGTACCCTCCTGAGTCATCCTCTCTTCTACCCACAATTACTGAGAAAAAAAGGCAGCTTTTTAACCATTAACCTGCTGAATGTACATGCAGATAGACTGGCGATGTGGGGACTATACACACACACAACACAAGTGAGGCACATGATGGGTGTTGGTGACACACACTGTGGATTGAGACGTGGTAGATGGATGAACAGTACATACAATTATAGGTAGGAGAGATACTCCCACAGCAATTAAGCACTATGTACACGACGTACACACTTATAAGTGAAAACACATTAATTTCATTCAGTGTATATGCACACACACAAACACAAATGCATGCACACAGACATGCACAGAATTCGTGGTATCTGAAATTAGAGCTCGAAAGGAGCTGACAAACCGCACTCTTATTGACTTATTCACTTTCATCCTTCTGTACAGACACAATACCTCACATTCTTAATGATACACTGGGATACATAAAAAAAGATGGGATGTGACAATACATTTCTTTAAAAAGGAACATGAATAAATGGGAAGTCCCGGTGAATGAAAAATATCTGCTTAAAGAAATCATGACTCAAAGAGAATGAAATACACCCACACTGTCTGACTGAAATGCATCAATATGTGCTCCCTTTCATGCACTAACACACACGGCGTTCAGAGACACACGGGAGGAAGACACAGAAATAAACAGGCTGCAGAGTCTCCATTCAATAGCCACTTCCGTACCACAGATATTCACATGCATAGGAAAAATACACATTTTAGACACACGCACTGATACACACACGGACACTCAGAGACACATGAACAAAATACATAGCTTATTAGTCTGTCTTTGAAAAGGCACGGCCTCTCAATAGCATCATCTACCTCTCCCCTCTCTCCATTGTCCTCTCCTCACATCCATAGCCAGCCAATGAATGAGGAAACAGCCGCTACCTGTAAATGAACCACACGCTCCTGTTTCTGGGGCCCAGTGACGGCCACGAAGAAGAGAGGGAGAGAGAGAGATCTCTCTCTCCGCAACCCCCCATTGCCATGTCCCCCCCTCCTCTCTCGCGCGCGCGCTCTCAAACCCCCTCCCCCCTCCTCCTCCTCCTCCCGCTCCCGGTCTTCCAGCGAGAGCTCAGCCGGAGAGCGCCGCGAGAGTGGAGGAGAGAGTGAGAGAGGTGGGTAACGAGAAGGAGAGAGACAGCGTGATGGTCTGCACCCGGCATACTTCAGACAAGAGAAAGACATTGTGAATGAAAAGAGAGAGAGAGAGAGAGAATACCAGCTATTATCCCAACAGGGAGAGAGTGTATGGAGTGTGTGCTGCTACATGACGGGAAGAGGGTTTGGCTGCAGAATATGGGAGATGGAGAGCTGAATTTGTGGTGTGGAGATGCGGGGGATGGGTACAAATATAAGGCGACACAGGGAGAGACTGTGCTCGAATTGCACATCCACTGACTGTTGTATCACAGATATACTAACAGCTGATTCTCACCCTGGATTTACTCACACTCGCTAACTTTTCTGTCGCTCCCTCCTCTCCTCTAAATCAGAACTGTCATCACCACACAGGCTAACAAACACTCTTCCTCTCTCTATATCTCTCTGAAATAGTATTTGACATTCTCTCAAATGCCTAGCTGCAGTGAGGGAACATGCTCCCTATCACCTTGCTCTTAATTGAGCACCACTTCACCACAGTGCTGCAATTACGCTTAACCAGCTTAGCACAGGTAATATAACCCCAGTGGCTGCTATTTCCATTTAGAACACAAGCGCAGCTGCATTAAAGCGAATGCCTTTTTGTAATGACGGTGGCAGCGGCTCAGCACAAGGGTAATGTCGGCTACAATGCGTAAGAGGCTGTAAAACCCCGGGGTGGCGACTGTTAAGTCTCACTAGCCCAGGGACCTAACCATTGCTTGGTGTCTCAGCCTCCTCATGACTCATCAGCAGGATGATGTACATACACACAAAGACACACACACTCTCACAGGCATAGTCAGATGCACACCAACTCTCGAACAAACACGCATAGCTTCATAAAACACAGCTGCAGCTGCCCAGGGCTGAGCTGCAGCTTCAGACAAATGCCATGTAGGACAAGTACCCTCCCCCCCTCTACCTTTCATTATGGCATTATTGTGTTCAGTGTAAACAAGCAACAACAGACGAGAGAGAGAGGCATGTGGCGGGATGTATCAAAGAGACAAGTGCATTTGTCTGGTTGAGCCAAAAGGGGCAGAGCTGAAAAATGACATGGCTGCTCTTTGTGCCTTCACCGCTGACGTGTTCACACAGCGAAACAATAGAGAACAAGCGCTGCTCAGGATCTGCAGAGAAAATGGACACATGCAGCAGACAGGATGGTATGAAAGCACAATAGGCGAAACAAGTGAGCACGCGCGCACACACATGAACCTTCTGCGTGTCAACTATTTAAAATCACCTTAAATGGCCTCACAGTCTTTCCTTACAGTAATAAACCCAGAGAGCAGACAGTTCAGTGGCTGCCCACGCTCATGTGACAATCCACAGCCAAACTATATCAGAGGCTGCAGCCAATCAAGTTCATCTTTGTTTTATGACTCCATCTATTTTCTAAACTGGTATCCTGTTCAGGGAAGTGCTAGGGCCGGTCCCAGCATGCATTGGGAGAAAAGTCAGGGACAATTTGAAACGTTACAGGGGAGCAGACAAAGAATAACACTCACATTTACACGTTGCCAGCAGTTTAGACTTTCCCAACTTACTTATTGACCGATCACAGGTTGTAAGTGTCATAGCAACTTTTCTTACCTGGGGCCATCAGTGCCGTCGTAGGCTCCAACAGTGACGTTACGGAAAAGCTTCCTCTTGGCTTTCTCGCTGCGCGTCTCTGCAAGGCACATGCAAGAAAAACACATGCTCAATTTAAACACCTTCAGCTTCCGTCATGACACCTTCATGACGGAAGATCATGAAGGTGTTTTGCACCGTTTTAGAAGTATTGTGTCTTTAGTGCAGATCACAAACGAATCAAATATATTTTTGATATATACTGTATATATTTTCCCAGTTTTCTACATGGCATATAGTTTGCTTGCTGCCTGAACAGTGCAGCTGTGGAAATAGGAGACAAGTTCATTTCTGCGCTGTACGTGTGCCACTGTCTGCTGCAAAAGAAGCTGCTGGTAAACATGAGTGTGACATGTGCTGGGTGTTACAGTGACTGAAAGGATAATTCCAGCCTGAGGGAGTAGGTAACCCATTTTCTCTCCAATCTATGTGCTATTTCCTATTACTGGTATGCGTCTTATGAGAGTTATCTCAAAACCATCAATAGCTAATTTATTTTAAATTATACATGAACAATTGAAAAAAAAAAGAAGAAAAGTTTTGTCTTACCTGATCGATTGTCTTTGCTGAGAGCCGCCACCTCTTCTACACAGTCTGACGGAAACCAGCCAGTACGACCTTTCGCTGTTCCTTCCCAGTATCCCCCTTCTCCTACACTTAACACTGAGACAGAGAGATAGACAGATAAATCGATAGCATAGATGGATGGATATAATTTAATTTGGCTAGTAAATCATTTATCACAAACTCTTACACTGTAATAAGTCTGAAGCTCAACCTTCCGTGTTTACCTCAAGCCATTTTTTTAATAACAATATTGAACAGTCCACTGAGAATGGAGAGGAACATGTATTGTGATGACTGGATGTGTCTGCTGGTGCTTCTCATTTCTCTTGTTTACAATCCTCTCTTCCCTCATGAACATCTCTTCATGCTGTTGATGTTTTAGACACAGTAGTTTCAATTATTTCCGGAATTAAACTCTATTGCAACTGCACTGGAAGTACAGGATCTCAGCATTACACAAAATCATCTCCAGTTGAGAACGTCTAGCTAATTGTCCTCAAACAACAACATGATTAAAAAGATGTCTTGGGCAAGTTTTTCTTACATTCTCTTAATTGACTTTTTGTGAATTTGCTCTATCTCACCTTTAACTCTGTCGCCTTTGTTAAGTGAGAGCTCTTTGTCTCCGCCAGCAGAGTACGCCCGAGTGGCCATGTAAACCCGCCCTGGCACTGCGCTGTACATACGCTTCATCTGATCTCCACCACTGCCCACTGAGGTTGCACTACAGAGGGAGAAAGAAAGAGAGTCTCTTACAAAACCAAGAGATTAGACTGTGTTGCACACTGTGGAAAAACAAGTGAGACAAAGTGAGACAACATACAGCTTATCAGGCTTCATCGGAGACAGACAGTAGTTGAGTCATACCAACAGTAATGCGTGCAGCAATCTTGTATTTACAAACAGTGACCAGTAATTGTAGGTCAGATATATACAAAGTGCTAAGAATTTTAACACAGTGCGCCTCAAATATTTGCTATAATAATACTATAGAGTACATACTATTAGGGCAGTTAGTACACAAGAAATGAATGTAGGGTTGAAATTAATGTCATTTAGTATACATGGAATTAGTGTTTCAAAATTAAAAAAGACACAAATAGCAAGTACCATACATTTTGTGTCAACAGGGATTTTTCTGGATTACTATCTCAAAATAATCCAGTATCTCAACAACTTTTAGATAGATAGGGCAATGATTGGTTCAGACATTCATAGTTCCTTGATGATGAATAACTTTGGTGATCTAGCAGCACACCTAGTGCCATGATGATGACAAAATTTTAATTTTAATTTGTTCAATACTTTTTTTTTTGAATACCCGCCAAACTAATATCCTTCCCATCAGCCTCAACTTTGTGTTTAGTCCTAATTAGCAATGTTAGCATTGTAGCATGCTAAACCAAGATGGTAAACATCAGCACGTTAATATCTGTCATTGTAAGCACAACTGTACAGCCTCCCAGAGCCACTAGCATGGCTGTAGACTCGGCGGAGAAATTGCATCACTGTCTGACATTTTTTAAACATATTTCAGACTGTGAGGAGCTCCTCTATTGATTTTACCCTGCAGGACAACATCCACACTTAAAATATGTGACATTCTTGCACCTAAAAATAGTATACTGTATGCATCTGAGACACAAATAGTAACTTTCCTGCATACAGCAGATGGTAACTGGAGAGTTAGTGAACCCCGTTAGTACATAGCCTTAAAGGACCTGGTCAAAATATGAATCCACCACTCTCCCTATCTGCATTAACACCGTATATATTCCTTCCTTACCCCTGTCTGCCTCTCGGCTGTCGGTGCCTCTCCTCTGTGTCACTTTGGCCTCCTCTACCCCGGGATGGGGAGCGAGTACGAGTTCTGGGGCTGCTTGAGCTTCTCATGCCGATGGAGGCCCTGCGTTGGCCCTGCAGAAACGCACAAGTCCCACATGGGCAGAACTTCAAAGCTGATCCTGTAACTTACTATATGTCAAAGACTGAAAAAGAAATGCAACACCAGCAAAGCATATCTATTATCACAAAGATCAGCAGATGAGCATCCACCTAATGGTCCTCAGTACCTGTCCCGGGTTGGGATTGGTTGCAGCCTTGTTGGGCAGGGCCAGGGGGTCAGACTGGGTCATGGAGTTATCGCTGTTAGCGCGCAGTAGGGGGTGGGAATGAAGTGAGGGGAGAGGTAGAGTGTAGGCGCTCTCTTTTCGCTTGGGAACATACTTTGGCGATTCCAAAAAGGGCACTGAAGATGGGAGGTGTGAGGTTAACGGGTGAGGGATCAGAGGTGGTGAGTGAGAAGGATTAGGAAGTGAGGAAGGGCAGTGGGGTTTGATGTGACAGGATGAAATAGAGGGAGGAATTAGGGAGATTGTTAGGGAAAAAGAGGGAGATCGTAAAGGCAAAATACATGATATTTTCAGGAAAGTACAAAGAAAAGCAGGTGTGAAACTGCAAAACTTGACAAGCCCCCTCAGACGAGACAGTTTGGCACGATAGCTTACCTATGTCAGAATCTTTATGGTTTTTGAAGATTTCCCCAAGTTCAAAGTGACCAGACATTATAGCTAGCTGCAAACACAAACAAAACAAAACAAGATTTAATTAGATAAGCCATTGTAGTTATTGCTATTTTTGTTATATTGTGTTGTCTGCTTTTTCTCTTTTAGTTTGTGACAAAACTGTTGGTCAAAGCTACTCAAAAAAATAAATGCAATTTCACTTTAAAAACATGATAAAACTGTGTACAGTTTTAATTGATAGTCAAACCATTTACCTGAAAAGGGGTCTGACCAAGCTTGTTCTTTGCCTCCTTATTTGCTCCCCTGTACAGAAGAACGCGGACACAGCTTTCCTGATTATTCACAGAGGGAAAGTGATGTGTTAACACCGTTCGGGAGAACAGCAGTAGTAATTATGGTAATAATAGTTTCATATGAGGGAATCTGTTTCCATACTTGCCTTGTTGTACAGGGCAGAAATGTGAAGTGCAGTGTTCCCTGAGGCATTTTGAGAGGAGGTTTCAGCCCCATAAAACAACAGATGCTCCAAGTGCTGTGCAAAACCGTTCTGGCAAGCCTTTAAGTGTCAATAGCGTGATAGAAATATCCAAAAATTGTCAGAATCAAAAAGTATAGAAAGAGACAAGTTAAAGTGAAGAGGGGGATTTCATATCTGACAGTTTCAGTAGAATAAAATTAGGCAGAAAAGGGGAGATTAAAACTATATTGCAAAAGAGAAACAATTAGAATTGAAGGGAGATGTCTTACATCCACATTTAGATCCATAATTACTCTTACAGAAAAACAGGTCAGAGACAATTACATTGCACTGTGATGGAAAAGAAAGTAAACAGAATTCATTCAAATAACAGAAATGAGCCTTCAGCAGCCTGAGAGGTTTCCTCGTGTCTTTCTGCAGAGACTTAAATATCACACGATATGTACAAAGTAAAGAACGACAAAAACCAAAATAAAATACCATGACAACCAGCTTGCAGCACAAACACAAATTTACCAGAATGTCACAGAGACATAATGTAGGCAATTCACACGCTTCTACAGTAAGAAAGAGATAGTATCCAATGCTCTTTCTGAACTGGACTCTTGAGATGACCCAGATTTGTTTTAAGGAAACCATGTGGTCAGTCACTTCATTCAGTTTATCCACATTTTTATCACATCACGATTCTGAGGGGAAGATGAGATGGTAGGATGAAGGGTACCTTGTGTATTTCTTCCATTCCAAACTCTTCTTCATCCCTGTGCTATGGAAGGAGAGAGAATGGAGATATGAGTGAGGAAGGCTGAGACGAGAGGAGTGTGAGAAAACGCTGAGAGACGGAGGGCGATGGTACAAGACATCAAACAGAGATCAGACAGGGACATGTTGGTGCATAGCTTAAGTTAAATGAGGCGAGACAAAGACCAAAGATGCTTAATGTGAAAATATAAAAAGGAAACAAATGAAACCACATGGAAATCAATGGATGTATAGAAAGGTAGATTAATAATATTAAAATGTCCATTGGTACCTGGTGGGACTCGTCCCAGCCATTCTCATCCTTTGTCCCCAGCCTCGCCCTGTAATACAGCAAGGTCTCGCAGCAGGAAGTGTCGCCCCCTGTCAGTACAGTGTGGTACAGCGGGGTCAGGCCATAGCGGTCTCTGTAGTTTGGAGATGCTCCAAGGGACAAGAGAGCCTGGCAAGGAGAGACCAACGAAAAGCATCACTTTTCTAATAAAGGTGGATGTGCAGATTCTGTGTGTAGTGAGAAATAGACGAGCTGAGAAAGAAAGACTTTGGGTATATGGCTGGGACTTATTTTACTCGTGATGCTGCGGCTGATCAATACAACACACGGTATAAATCAAATGATACTAAGTCATTGTGAGAAACATGTTTATGTCTAAATCAATTATATGTATATATAGTTTGATTATTTAACATTTGATCTCATATATATATATATATATATATACTATCAGTGTTATATTGCATATTGAAGCTGCAGGGATTGACAAAATAATATATTTCATGGCAGAAATACTTGCCTGGCCAACTTGAGTCTGTTTGCAATATATATATGCGACTTTAATTCAAAGTCCTTACCATCAGCCCAGCATGATTGTGAGCCCTAACAGCTTTGTGCACCGGTGTGAAGCCATCTCTGCTCCTAAAGTCCAAATGAGAGCCGCCCTGAACCAGCAGCCTGATGCCCTCCACCGGCAGGCCCGACTGCATGGCTATGGAGAGCGGGGTCTCTGACCCACAGAAGAGGAAAGGGTCAGGAAGGGTGGTAAGTAGAAGAGTGTAAGTGAAAGCCTTTCATATCACCACCCCAATACCACTTGCACAATCATTTATTTGAAATTAAAGAATGAATTTAGTCAAAATTGGTATTTCCACAGTGAGAGTCAGCACACACAGCAAACTCACCTCCACTGTCAGGGTCATGGAAATTTGAATCAAGACCTTTATCAAGGACTTTTGCCATTTTCTCTATTGCTCCGGTCTGAATGTAATCCAGGAACTTCTTCAGACTGGCCTGAGAGCGGTAGAAGAGGAAGGAAAGGAATATTTGAGTAGAAATGAGTACTGTGCACCAGCAATATTCAATAGACACAAGAAGAAATACCTTTGTGCTGAGTTTGGAGAGCGCCTTTTCATCCAGATTCGTCTGTTTATAAACTCTAGTTTTGTACCTAAACTGAGTACAGAAAAAGATACGTGTGAAAACTGTGATTCATCGTCATGCTGCATCACAGTTCAGTTTGATGGTGAAATGGTGGAAATAACAAATATATATATTTTTTTGTGCAGTAAATATGTACTTCAGATGATGTTTTACGATCTGAACTTTAAAAAAGCAGAGAAGCAAAGCTAGGAATGCAAATTCATTTTAAAATTGATTTTTATTTTGTATTCAGAAGTCAGACTTGGTTGACTGCTTCTTGGGAAAAGCGTAATCACATGTAGAGTAAGGTAGCATTGGAATGCATTGCTTACATATCCATAAAGCAATATATATCATAGGCTCTGACGTAAATCGAAATATATTTTACTCACTGATAATACATCCCGATAATACACCTTAACCTGTACCATGGTTAAGAGACCACAGACTGTGTATTGTTTGAATATTTTTCTTTCATTCTCTGTAAATGTTAATTATACACAGGCAGCAGTAGTTTTTACGGGCTGGTCTTAATGTTTTTTAATCTTCTCTACTCTGCAATGATATATATAATTAGGCAGTGAAATAAAAAAAAAACATTGCTCTAAAATATGGTCTAGAGAATTAGTCTTCTAAACCCCCATTCTGCCAAAAACACAACATCCACATCAGTACTGTACAGTAATGGTAAACCATTGAAGATTGCTGAGGTGAGATCAGCTGACAGCTGAACTGAACCACATGCTGCACCTCAGACAGCCAAAGAACAGCTGCATATTTCAAGCATCAGAGGTGGGTTTGGCCAGCATAAAAGAGCAACCGGCCTAATATTTGATACTAGTTTTATCTGAAAAGTAATGGCACAAAGTAAGAACTAAACTTATCAAGAAACTCCTCTATACCAACGAATACTGGTCCAATTCAAGCACTGACGTTATTCAAAATGCCATTACTCGTGTTATAAATACATACACTCATGGAGCAGTGAGATACATTCTGCTGTGGAGCAGCAGTCCTCATCCGGAACCTTGTCAAGAATGTAAACACTCTGGTTCGAAGCCAAAAACGTGAGTGTGGGATATTTCTCAGCCCCACCCAGCTCGTCAACATTTACAGCAGCTGGACCACCAGAGGGCACTGTGAGATAATTGTATCACAGCATGACAAAATCATATTGATGTCATCTCAGAGCCCACTTCCCAAAAAGTGGAGAAACATAATATAATTTGTAGGTTATATAAAGCACAGAATGCAATTAAGTCCATGAGGTGGATATTATATTTGTAAAGATTGGTTCATTTACTGTGTTGAACATGGGAATTCTAATAAAAAAGTAAGCAGCGAGTAATTTGTCTGCAATTGTAGAACACTCCTTATGTGCAATAACATTTTCACAGTATGATGCAGTACCATAGTTAATGTCATCAAACAACAGAAGCTTCAAAAGATCAAAGATGCACACAAAAGATTCTGTTGTTGAACTGTTTTTCCTGTATTTGGTGATGACAACAATGCTATATTTTATATTCAGTAATAACAAGTGCACTCAGTCAGGGCCGTTGCTACCACTGAAGAAACTGACGTCAAGTCCAATGTATCTTTTGTGGAAATTTGGGGGGGTTGTTGTAACACTTTTTGGATATTTTAGAAGCTGATTTCTTTGCATTTTTAAGACCCCAGTAAATGTAAAATCCTGGCTATGGTCCCGTCGCTGTCCCACTATTCCCACCTCCATACCTCCAGGTAAGGCACCCCTTTCTCAAAGGTCTGCGAGTAGTCTCGGAGGGCCCTCTCCTCCTCCAGGAACTTGGCGTCCCGTCCGTCTCCAGCCGGCTGGAAGAGGCCGTAGTTGTAGACGTCCCACAACGTCTCATTGAGGGAGCAGATGATCTGCTGCTTAGCGCTCCATACTGTGCAGTCCTGGTCAAACTGGAGACACCTCTGACAGACACAGAGAGAGCAAATACATCATTAATGTTGTCAATTCAAACAAAAACACTTGCTTAGGTTTAGGCAACAAAACCACTTTGTTAGGTTTCGGAAAAACATCATAGTTGGGCTTAAAATAACTGCAGGAAAACGTGAACAGCATAACATGAATACGGAAAACAGGTCACAAACATCAGTATCGCAACTTTCGGACACAAACACTGGTCTCCGGGTTGAAAGTTCTGTGTTTGTCTGATCCATCCACCAAACATCCCACCAACCCTGTGTGGCTTTTTGTACCACGTCATCTCACTCCTGGAGAATGTTCTCTCGCAGTCTAATAATGATGGGATGGGTTTATATTGTAGATACTTGAAAGCCCGGTCCGCCTCATACAGACGCTAAAAGGTGCCTTGTGCATCAGGTATCGGAGGCAGAGTGACAAAGCGTCAGTATTTGACGTCCTGGGAATGAGAATGGGCTGAAAAGTCAGTTATGCACATTCAAGAACTTGTCAGCTCAGTAGTTCAATCTGAAAAATCTGATTTTAGTATACAGTTTTCTCTCTGCCTCTAGCACCAAAAAACACACCAGGCAGTGACAAACTGAGGCTCGCCACCATAAATTACTTTTGTCTGGCAGGCGTGTTCATGTGTTTCAGGCGGGAAGACATTCTTTGTGACATTTTCTTTTCACAGGAGTCACAGTTTACCGTTTGGCTGTTTGGCTCCGTCTCCAAGAAAAGTCAATATCATTAAAACAGCAACCAATTTAATGGTAGTGTGTGTGTGTGTAGGTGTGTGTGTGTGTGTAAACTTGCGTGCACACAATTATATTAACACACAGCTATATTTAGTCAGTTTGGCTAAATAGCTAGCCACTGGCATTTTATCATTACGGATTAATAATGTAGCATGACTGTTTTAACATCAGTTGGTGAATGATGGATGCACAAGTATTTGGTATGTGCAGATTATGCATTAATTTAAATAATTAATCGTCTGCCACATCCATGGAAATTCGATGACATATGCTATCCTTATAGTCTATCAGTGCTATCAAGATATTCAGGTCTATTTATTTTCACAGCACTGTATCTCTTTACACCTGATGGAGAAGTAAAGATTCTATACAGGGATACATCTTTCCCTTTGTGATTTCTTTCACTTTGATCCCTCCATACACAGTGTCAGATTTACACCACAATCCAGGGGGAGAGAGAAAAACCTAGCTTTAAGAGAAGCTCCTACACCTCTTACTATATCACCCTGGATGTATGCACTACTAGATTTCACGGTGATTTGTGCACTGCCCATGTCCTCACATTATTACATTTCCACAGGAAGACCATCTTTTTTGTCCTTTTCTTATTAAACTCTGGAGCCTGAGGACAGAGCTGACCGGGAGCAAGTCTTTACCAGCAGCCACTGAGAGCTCTGAACGAGATGTATGCATCCGTGCTATTGTTCCATTTCAGAGAACTCCAAGTCAAATTGCACAGCTCAGCACAGTTTCATGTCCCCCCCCCGCTAGGTTGCACTATTTGATAGTGTAGCCAACTCTATTGGCATGGCAACCAGTTCATTAGTGAAGGCAGGAACCCGTTGCCGTAGCAATGTCTTGGTGGTCCCTAGGAGGTAAACCACATGATGGGGGTGTGTGCGTGTGTATGTGTATCTGCATGCATATAAGTGAGTTGTGAAGTATACGCGTGTCTGTGTGTTCTTACGTGTGTGTAATTGTGCAGTGTTGTGTACATATTTCAACAGTGTGTGTGTGTGTGTGTGTGAGAGAGAGAGGTCGATTGGCTAATCCTTGGGTGAGAAGTCTAATGTAATGTACACTGTATATTACAGCGACACTTCTTTCCCCTTTGTTCGGTTTTATTCAACCAAGGGTTTTCTGGGATCTATCTGGCAGTACTTGTCCTCAGAGTTATTTGGACATTCACTGCGCAGTATTAAGCTTTTTTCAAATGCGTATATCTTCCTCTTTGTTTATTCATTTCCTCACCTCTCTCTTCCTGGCATTTATTTCCTCCCCTCCCTCTCTTCAGCTCTCCTAATTCAGCTAAATAATATTACAGCTGCAAGGTTTGGGGTGCGGAGTGTTTTTTTTTTCCAGTCATGTGCAGAGCGGAATATGATGCCTGTGGCGGACAAAGACCTAAGAGCAACGCAGATGCCTTCCACATATTCCTTCCTTTCCAGCGTCACTCACTTCCCCAGCTCTCCCTAAACTCATTAAAACCTATAAGATAATTAGCAATTACTGTTATATTGAGGGCAGATTAGCTGACATGTAGAACAGTCGGCATGTTTAGGGAGTTGAAAATGGAGAAAGGGCGGTTGGGGGGGGGGGAGGGGTTACAGTGGGGCACCCACTCTCACCTGGATATGGCGAGTGTGGGCCGGCCAATTCTCACCTGCCGCCGCTGTACAGCGGAGAGCTATTGTAAGTGTGAATTGATACTAACTTCAGTTTTGGAAACTAATTATGACCATCCCTGACCCAAGGCAGATGCTTACATGGTATTGTTGGCTGAATATGTCAACACACATAACACATAACACGCTCTGTGTTTTTTCCTACTTCCTTTTGGGATTCATCCCTGGGCGTGTGGGATGGCTGGAATGAAAATGCTTTGAAATAAGTTCTGTGCTTGTACATTTGTTCACACTATTTGGCTAATGTAAAAAAAACATAATTATGCATCAAGTACCCATGGGTTCTTCTCAGCAACACACTTGAAACAGATGTAGATGTCAACACTGCAGAAAAATGTGTATTTAAAAAAAAAAGAAGTAAAGTTTTGTCTACTTGCACAAAGATCAGAATCAGAAATAGTTACATAAGCCAAACCCACTACTCCCTTAACATTGTAAAGTTGCTTCTGTTTGTTGAATTAAATCTATCTATCTCACTCTGAGGCAGTGACACCAGAGAGAATTGGCTTGAGCTACTTCCTCATTTGGAAAGACCTCCCATCAGTGCTCCGTTTGCAAGGGAGACTTTTCTTTCTATATACATAGATAACTAGACTTTGTGTTTTTTGATTGAGCGTGACAATTCATTCTTAAAATGTTTTACTCTTTTTTTCTCACAAATTACAGATGTGAGGAACTGAGCTGTGCTACACGAATGTCTGCCTCAACTGTAGATTTATGTCAGTTTCAGAATAGGGGTCAATTGTTTCATGTGTAGGTGTCTTTGTTTCATGAAATGTTTGCATAGTGCTTGGCCGGAGTGTTTTTGATGAGAACATGCACCTACTGTTTGTTTGATGTCAGGAATTCCAATGCGGAACACCATCATGGTCAGGAAAGTGTCATCCATGGGAGCCACTGTGGTCATGCTGCGCTCCATGAGAGCTCGTCTCTTCTGCAGCGCATTCAGGCCTGCTTGATGAGGCTGATGATTGGCTGCGGCGGGATAATGCTGTTGCTTATTGGCTGGTTGATGATGTAGCAGGGCTTGATTGGACATGTATGCGATACCACGGTTGCCCGGCCTCAGCGCTCGGTCTGCTCTCTGTCTACCGACCACAATGGCTGCTGGTTTCACCACCTCGCCACTTTTCCCTTCCCAGGATTGTCGTCCTCCCGTCATTTCCATCTCCTCCAGACCCTCTAACTCTCCATTCTCCATGTCACGGTCATCTTCCCCTTCTCCGTTTTCTCTTCCCTGCTCCTCCTCCTCCTCCTCATCCTCCCAATCTTTGTCATCCTGGCCGGGATAAAAGTGTTCGTTATTTCCCAGCATCCTTTGCTGGGCAGGTGTCACTGCAGAGAGGGCTGAGTGACATAGCTGTCATGGTGACAAAACATGGCTATCCCATGAGACTGGCTTCATCCTTAGAAACATGCTGTGGGAAACAGGCAGAGAAGGAAGTAGGGTCATTTAACTCTTATAACATCATTGATGGAGTGAATTTAGCCAAATTAGAAATGATGTAAAAAGACATGTGCAATAATAGAAAAACTAGCCACCGGCAATGCTAATAAGTCCACATGTGTGAATGAGCACACAGCTGGTCCACATTTTCCATTTAGCCACTGGGAATGCATCGGGGAAAAGCAGGCTGATGAAAGACAGGCTATATATAAACTCTGTGAATTTGCATCACAGGTTCTTTGCAGAAGAGTGAGTTTGATATGAAATTCAGCTTCACATGAGGTCAAGATCATCGCAACGATGTGGTAATGGAGCTGACCAATGTCTGAGGCACAACCCAGGGCTAACAGCTAAATGTGAGCTCCTTAAAAGGAAAATTCCACCCTCACATACTTGTACACTGTCATACATCAACAGTTTTTGATTGTGATGCTGGAGTGATTTATAAATTAGGTGTTGTGATTGTCCTTTTTGCCTACTAACTGCAATGAACATGTCGACATGGTTCACTGATGTGATATTTTTCCCACAATACTTTGTGACAACCTCTAGAAACATGCCTGAACTTATTACACAAAGTTTGGTGCAGCTATTACAGCCATAATAAAAGCAATACAGCTGGCAGTATACTTCAAATCAATTTCAGTTTTTTGCACAAGCAAGATTATGGATTTGGAACAAAAAACATAGGGCTTGTGCATTGATTGTTGCTGGGTAGAAAGCCTATGGCCAAGTGAGCTTGTCAATATTTCACACATGCTACAGTGATTTTTTTCATACCCTTTAACCCACCCACTAGGTGCAGTAGGTGAGAATTGTTTGCTTACATACAGTATCTGTAAATCATTTGTGCAGTGTGTTTTCAGTTGAATTCTATTAGTTCTAGCACAAACCGGTGTATTTATTGCTTTGAGGAACTTACGTTCCCTGTCTGCAACATACTCTATGGTCTGTTCTTTCAACAACTTGCAAGCTTTTCCAAGTAGCATGGACACCATTAAATGAACAGACCAATTGGGGCTTGTTCCAAGACGTTATCTGGATAACTAAACATCAGTCCACGTTCTGGATTTAAGAGGTTTTAACTCAGCAAAGGTATCGAGATAACTCCGTAAACCCGCATTCTCTCAGTGTGCAGTTGACAGTCTGAGAATATTCCGAAATGAATTTCAATTTGAAGTATGCTGCAAAAGTTCAGGAGTTTTTCCAGCACAGAAAAGCAACAGTCATGTCCCTTAATTGAAACTGGGGGACTGACATCAAAACATGATCATTACTGTTGAAGATTTAGATAGCTGAAGCATCTCCTGCTGCAAAACTCAACTGACATTACATGAAAAATATCTTTCTTGACATGATGTCAGGTCTTCTGCATTTGGCCAGTTATGTGCAGAGAGAAAAAAATACTATCAAACAATAATGATGGATCCGCAAATACAACTTGCATCACAGCTATTTTAAAAACAGTCTTAAAAGTGTCTCAGGGTGAATTTTTGCTTTAAGATTGTGTCATTGCTTCAGTGTGTTTCAGATTTGGCATACTGGCGCCTCCATATGCGCGGTCCTGGTTTTTGGTGGTGAAGTCTGGCTATAGGGGCTTTGCCATCATGCAGATCTGGACCGTTGCCAACAGCCACCTTAATGATGGTGAATGACGCAGGGAATCTCCCACCGTCTCATTGGCAGTTTGGTGCTCTGAATATCATATGACTCGGGAGCCTGAAATAGATGCGTATCAGGACAGATGGAACTCAATAAAATATCAGATGAAATTAGGACACAGATCCAAAATCATTCAATCACAGATCACCGACATGCAAACACTTAAAGAGTCAATCCGTTTTTAGTAAAATATGTAGAAAACATGGTGCTGATGAAGGTTAAAGGGGCATTAAGTGATCTATGGCTTTTGACTTATTAACCTCTATTGGTGAGCAAGGACATCGACAGGTGCCTGGCACAGCTTAGCCTGTAATTGAAATAAATAATAATGTAGAGATGAAGAAGCTCATGGTCAGAGATCCAATAAAAACATTTGATGAAGAGGTCATAGACTATACTCATGTTCAAAATACTGCAACAAGAGGAGTACTTTGGGGTTTTTTTTTGGGCTTTAAAACAAAGTGTACTTGCAGCTTTGCCAACACTGGCTCCACCTCTGATTGCTGCACAGTTGAAAATGTGTGTCTGCATGTCTGTGCTTGTCTTTGTGAGGACCACATATCCTTGCAATAACTCGATGATGGAGGTTGGCTGGTTGGTTGTGGTTAGGACTTAGCACTCATCTTAAGTAAGGTTAGATATTAGAATCAAGCTCAAGATTTTAGTTTAAGGCTACATTTGTAGCTTGTGACTCCTTGCAATCTGTTAACATTTCACATAAAAGCAAAGATTTGAGAAAAGTCTGAAACCATAAGTTTACCTTTAGATTGCAGAAATGTATTTTTCCCTACTTTCCTGTACTGCTTTTCATCTCGAGACTCCTCTGATTCATCTTGTGACCCGTCGTGGGGGTCTTGACCCTCAGGTTGGGAACCTTTGGGTTTAAGGTTAGGCTCAATTTTAAAAATGTCTTGACTTTTTAAACATAAAGAGATAAAGATTGACCTAGATATTAGTCAGTATATGTACAAAACCTGGCCAGTTTATGCACATATGCACTATTATGGTTCGTTTCATGCAATGGAACTATACGCATTACAGCTACTGCGACTTTTTAAAAGAACCATATTCTAAATGCCATAATTCAGTCAGCAGTGTTTGACTGATGATGATTGACCGGACGTATGCAAAACAATCCAAGCCTGGACTGTTTATGTCTCACTGGCCAACAGGAAGTTTGCTAGTTGAGCATTTCTGGGCAGAAGAGGACTGGCTGTGGTTGATTCCCCAAGATGCTCTGAGAGTGACAGGGTGGGCCACTTCAACACAAACAAACACAACGCTGTGTCAGAGCCAGTGATACAGGCACGACAGAAAGCTGAAGGAAGGAAATTGTAACCGCTTGAGAATAAAGTGTCTAACCACTTACAATACATTAGGGGAAAGCGATGTGATTAATGAATCAAACATGTTTTGGAGAAAGTGTGTGGCTGACTAATACATATACAACTTTCATTCATTAAGATATTCTAGCACTGGCAGCAAATTTAAGGGTCTCAGTGTCCATCAATAGCCATAAGAGAGCTCAGCTGTTAACAATGGCCTCTGCATTTGTAGGTAATAGCGCACTCGACAACCCACCACTGGACATTTTTCTATGTATGATTTACAGTGCATGACATTTAGGCCAAAAACCTCTCTAATCATAAGCTGACAAAGAGTGGAGTGTTAACACTCACAAGGTTTTACAGATTAACACGATCATTCAAGTACACCAGGAGGGAACAGAGGAGGTTGATTTATGAACAAAGTCTCATCAAATATTGAACAGCGAGTCTGCACTAGGCAAGATAAGGAAGTCGAAGGACAGGCTGAGAGTAGACGGGAGCCTAATAATTGGGATGTAAAAGCGAAGGGGGAATACACAAGGGAGAAAGACGAAGAGAGTCGTAGTTTGCATAAAGCAGAGTAATCAGGTTGAGAGAAAGAACAGGGGGGTGAGAGGACAGCCGTGACTTGAAGAGGAATGAGAGCGAGTGGAGAACTGAGTCAAAATCAACAGTAATGTGAGGAGAACAGGATAAATGGAGGCATAGTCATGCTTAAAGTGCTATTTGATTTTACATTCTAACTACGGCAACTCCAATCACACGTCCTGCAATGCCCCCCTCAGCCTGTGCAACCCATTATAAACATCGCAACTTGTCTCGATTGCCTTCCCCCGTCATGTCGCTCAACTCCTACGCTCTGCCACAACAATAGCTCAGAATTAGTCGGTTTCCTTTTGCCAGCTGTTTGGCTCTCCTGTCTCTGTGCTGGCCATCAGCTCTCCAACTAGTCGTGACTTTTCTTTCTCACGGGGGAACGGTGGTGGCAGAGGGGAATGGATTTCACTCCCTGACAGAACAGTCTTTCTGCACCTTCTGTCAGAGGCTGAGAAAAAAAATCTATTTTCACTGTCTTACACCGAATTTCACTTGAACTGTTCTTAAATATGAATTATTGGTTTATTTATATTTTTCTCTAACTCTCTCTTTTTCTGAGGTCAGGTTAAATAGTCAGGACATCGTGCACCTCCAAAGTAGGCTTATTTGTAGCGTCAGCAAGGACTTAAGGCTTATTTCGGTGTTTAACTTAGGGAACATGATTTAAGTCCAGATTCAATTCCTTATTTTGCTGTGATGGCAGAATTTAAGATTGTGGAGAGGCAACAGTAGTCTGTGGAAACTGCACCATAGACAGATAACATCCGGAGAGCAACCGCTATCTTGTGGTGTACTAAAAAGCATTGGAAGGTCGTCTCGACTTGTCCAACGTTGACTGCTGAAGCGCCATTCCGTGTAAAAATATAATTTTTACACGGAATGAAGACTGTAAATTTTGTCCCACAGGGATTACCGACTACTGTTTTAAGACAGACTTCAAAAAATGTGAACCAAGTATCTTGTAACGCCTAAACATTACACTACTATATTATATCATACGCTTGCCTTCTTTCCTGATCTCATGAGCTCCTGTCTCAAAACTTAAATCGGAATTTCAACAGTGATGCAATGTTAGAGTAGAGAATAGGGACATCTGAAGATTTCAGAAGTTGGCAAAACAAATAGAGCAGCTTGACTTCTGATGATTTGAAGCCATGTGGAGACTCAGAGGATTTCGATAGATTTGGGCTGACGTGGGTTCACAGACAGTAAGGAAATGGAGTGAGAGTAAGAATCAGACACTGA